GCATAGCTTCTTTTTTATTTCGCTATCTACAGTTCAACGCGCCGGCAAGGGTAATAGTGTTTCCTTTCACAGTTCGTCAAACAAAAGACCTCATCGACAATCAACGGTGTTGAGCAAGCTAATGTGCCTCTGTGTCCGAACTCCGAACCCTAACAAAAACACTGCCGTTCCCCTGGGTCGACCTGTTCCCACAATAATAGAGTTCCCGGCGGGCGGCGGCCTTACACTGACCTGTACTGCGCACGGCGGCACAGCCAAGTCAAACGGGCCCAAATTACTACCATGTGACCTCGCGGAGGAGAAGTGGCCAGATCGGGTCGGGTCAGATAAGCCGTCCAAATTATAGGCATTTCGGGGCCGATAGAAGGCGACGGTCGCCACGAGAATCTAGATCAATGATCATATTGGACGACGGGAGCCCGTCCGACGAAGGGAGCCAGATAGGCGCGTGCCCATTGCCCAAGTTTCCTAGTCAATCTGCAATTACGCAGGCGGAATCATCCATAGTGTGAAGACATGGTGTGTCAAAGAATGGAGCGTGTCAGCTCAGAATGGAGACGACTGACAAGTCGTTGCGCCGCTGTCGTATTTATTTCTCTCTACTTGCATGAAGCAGGCCTCGATCGTCACAATCGACGATGTGTCGTTCTGTTTACCGGCAGCCATGGTAACGATGCCGGCGCCGCTGCCGGCCGCTGCCGAAGGCCTTGCAACGTAACGCGCACGACTTACGACGCAGAATTCGGCCGGAGAATGTGAGAGGGCAGAAAGTGGACGGTATCAGGCGAGGCCATGACCCGGAGGAATGAAAGCCAGGCCGAATAGGTGTCCTGGTGCTGACTAGCTGGAGGCAGGGCTGGAGAAACCGGGGGGACCGGGGGGGACCGTCCCCCCCCGGGCCCCATTAATTCCATTTCCTGGGGGGGACCTGGGGGGGACCTAATATATAACGAAAGTGGGCCCTTCTGACTTATGTTTAAAAAAAGTAATCAGCCATTTTGGCCTGTATTAATGTTTTAAATATCACATTCCAAGCATCGGAGCCCTATATCAGTGAGTAGATCTCAATGAGTCGTACTCCACCACAAGCTAGTGGGCCCTTAATGGTTCCGTGATGACCGTGAACCATCGGAGAGCCATGGCCCCTCATTGAGTCCATGTGGTCCAGGTCCAGTAGTGGACCTGTTGAAAATTTGACAGAAAGGTGTTTGCCAGGCCTATTTTCCTTTCACATACCTCCTATATATGTACAGCAACGCATGAATAACAGTGGCGGATCCTGGGGGGGGGCACGGGGTCATGACCCCCCAAATGGTCTGAGAGGGTCAGTTGACCCCCTCCAAAAGCCGAAGACCTAAATGCGTTATAGACGCCGTCTTGCATGCTCAAAATCACCTGTCAAACACATCTGAGCTTATACCTTTGTTTTTGTCTGGATCGTGTTGCGTGAAAAGGCGTATTGAAGGCCAGAATCGTACTCGTTTTTGTCTCAACCGTGCGAGCACCAGGGGATGATACAGGAAAACTCCAAGGGGATGGTCATGAATTTAATTTGTGGTGCCCCTTCCTATACCCAAAATTAAAGACTCAACGGATTTCGGCCACTTAATTTTGGTGATGCCGTGTTTCCATTTTTGTTTTTTATATTGTTTATTTTATTTTTAGTGCCCCTGGGCCCTGGCAGGCCTGTGGTGCCCCTGGCCGGACTGTGGTAACCCTGGCGGGCTTGTGGTGCCCCTGCGAGGCCGGTGGTGCCCCTGGCAGACCTCTCGTGACCCCTGAGGTGCCTTCAAAAGAGGACGTGGGGCCATCAGAAGCGGCCATATGACCGTCGGCATTGGGCCTTAAGGGAACTGCATGGGCCTCTGCTGTGACCCAAAATAAGGATCTCGAATGTCGAAATGGGACCTTCAGAGACAGGTAGGGAGTCAGGGACCCTCATTTCACCGGTATGAGGCTGTAGGCACCCAAAAAGCAGTCGGAGTCCCTCAGATGCCGGAATACTTATACATTACTTACGCGGCATGCTTACCTTCTTACATTTTGCGCCCTCGGAGGCCAGCGCGGGGTCCTCATAGGTCGATGTGAGCCCTCTGAAGCCGGTGAGAAACCTCAAAGGCCATCATAAGACCATCGGGCCACTGGACAGTATGAGACTCAAGAGGCAATTTGGAACTTCGGAGACCGGCGTGGGCCCCAGGGACGTACCCAAGGGGGGACGGGGCGCCCCCCATTGGGGTTTCAGGAGGCCCCCGTGGGGCGCCGAAGGCCCACGGGGGCCAAAATCACGTCGGAGGCGTAAGAAATTCACGTGAAGCCAAAAAATCACGTCAGGACATTCAGGGCCCTCTGACCAGCCTGACAGCTAGGGTCCTTCTTGCTTCCTGAGGCCTCCTAATCCTTCCTTCTTACTTCCTGAATAACCGCCCGCTAGTGCCTGTGTCTGACCGCTAGGGCCCCTCTGACTCCTCAGTAGAGAGGAGGCCCTCTGTAGGTAGGAGGCCCTCTCTAAAGAGAAGGCTCTATGTAGAGAGGAGGCCCTGTATAGAGAGGAGGCCCTCTGTGGAAAGGAGACCGCCTGAAAGCAGAAGGCCCTCTGAAGAGAGGAGACCCGCTGTAGAGAGGAGACCCGCTGTAGAGAGGAGGCCCTCTGTAGAGAGGAGGACTTCTTCAGTAGAGAGGAGGCCCTCTGTGGAGAGGAGGCCCTCTGTAGAGAGGAGGCCCTTTGCAGAGATGAGGGCCTCTGTAGGAGGTTCTTTGAAGAGAGGAGGCCCTCTGTAAAGGAGGTCCTCTGAAGGGGAGAGACCCTCAGTAGAGAGGGAGACCTCTGTAGAGAGGAGGCCTTCTGTAGTTAAGAGGCCTTGCGAAAAGAGGAGGCCCGCAGTAGAGAGGTGGACCTCTGTAGAGAGGAGGCCCCCTCTGTGTTTTGACAAATCTTTTTGCAAATTTTTCGCAGCGCTTCGCGCCGCCGATTCATGTACGTACAGGTCAATACGAAATCGTGACTGTAATTACACCAACCAACCGTGGCAAATTGAATTATAACTCATATGTGTAACTGTGAAGGAACTCCGGCTTGTACTGCCATGCTCAAAGGGTGGTAAAATTTGTGTTTTGGAGCTGTGTTTTGACAAATGCTTTTGCAAATTTTCTCGGCGCTTTGCGCCGATTCCTACACCAGTCAATCAAAAAGATCGTGACTGTAATAACATCAACCGTGTCAAATTGAATCGGAATTCATATGTGTACTGTGAAGGAACTCCGGCTTGTACTAGCATGCTGTAAGGGTTGTAATGTTTGTGTTTTAGAGTTGTGTTTTGACAAACGTTTTTTTCCACACACAAAATTGCGGCGCTTCGCGCCGCCGATTCATACACAGGTCAATAAGAGAGATCGTGACTGTAATAACACCAACCGTGTCCAATTGAATCGGAATTCATATATGTGTACTGTGAAGGAACTCCTGTTTGTACTAGCATGCTAAAAGGGTTGTAATATTTGTGCTTTAGCGCTGTGTTTGTACATTTTTTTTTTTTTTGAAATTTTTGCGGCGCTTCGCGCCGCCGATTTATAAACAGGTCAATAAGAGAGGTCATGACTATATGCTACTAATGCATTAGGCTAAAAGTGAGGTAACTATATCTACTTCTTGGCTTTTAAGTACGTCGATCGCCCCCCCCCCCCAGTAAAAAATCTGTAGCGACGCCCCTGTATAGGTGGGTTTCAGTAATTGAAACTACTGAGCCGAGTGACTAATAACGATCAAACTTCATCTTAGAAACGACGAAGATCAAATGTCATTTGATCTCGACATACTCGCTCCCTACCCCCCCCCCCCCCCCGTCGTCAGAATTCATCCATCAGACCCGGTATGTCGGCCGACTTGTGACCCCCTCTCAAACGTTCCCCTAAAATCCCCCTTGGAAGGTTATATGATTTTGGGCCCTTTGAGACAATTAGGGCCCTTTTCCTTGAGGGCCCCTCGAGGCCTAGTCCCCCCCACCTCTGAAATCATTTCTCCAGCCCTGGCTGGAGGGCGGAGGAGGGGTGAGTGGTTGGTGGGTGGGTGTCACTCAGCGACCGCTGAATTAGTGACACTAACCTTGCACGCGGTTGCGCGTAATCATTGGTGAAATAAGACGGAAACACATTGGTGGCAAAATAGACTGCACTCGTTTCAAGAGGTATGACTAAAAAAAAAAAACGGAGTACTGATGCTGCTATCGCCGCGAGGAGTGTCTTTGATAATACGGAAAACGCCTACCATTTATCACCGTGCGTCCCGCTCCCGGAGCTTGAGAGGAGCACTCTCTCAATCTCCGGGAGTGCTCAAGAGAGTGCTCAAGAAAGAGAGCACTCTCTCTTTCTCCAACGCGAAACGCAGCGCGACAGGAGGGCATGGAAATTGAAAACCCACACATAGGACGATTCGTTGAAGGATGAGATCCAAATCCCCTCAAACTCAAATTTGTCACTGGCAAATTTGCAAATCATAATTCAAATCAGAGGCCACTTGCACCAAAATCCTCTTGCACCAATGCTTGGATTATTTTGCATCGTATACCCAGTCCAAGTCTCAAATGTAACAATTTGCATGCAAAATTTTGCAAGCACATGTAAGATTATGTATTGGGCTATTGCAAACAAATTTACCACCGTTAGATTAGCTTATTCTGAAACCGGTTTTTCGATTTTACCTAGCTAGGTAGTTTGGTGCAAGAGGCCTCAGGGCTGCGGAGTCGATGGATTTTCGGCGACTCCGACTCCGACTCCGACTCCGGCTTTCAAAAACCAGCTCCGACTCCGACTCCGACTCCGGGCAGAATTGTCGACTCCGACCGACTCCAACTCCCGACTCCGACTCCGCAGACCTAGCAGGGCTGCGGAGTCGACAGATTTTCGGTGACTCCGACTCCGACTCCGGCTCGGGTTTCTAAAATCGACTCCGACTCCGACTCCGACTCCGGTCACAACTGTCGACTCCGACCGACTCCGACTCCGACTCCGACTCCGCAGCCCTGATTCAAATAATCAGAGCATAACAATGCGTTGATCTTAATTTAGTAGCCGTAGCGCATATCAAGAACTCTTATTTGAAGGTCAATTCTGCCGCACCTGTGACAAAAGGACGCATGTGTGTTGTTTGGGTTTTGTGCGCACGGTCCTTTTACATCGGGAGCGGCGTGGGGGTGGCCGCGTATCCCGTCCAGCGGGACGTTTTTAGATTACATTTTATTTCCTCTAACAACTATCGGGTCTAAAGAGTAGCAAAATGGTTACCAACAAGTTTTCAAAGAAGCAGAGCAAGCGGGTGTCGGCGCGGATGCGCTATAAAATTGCCAAAAAGGTCAAGGAGCACAATAGGAAAGTGAAAAAGGAGGCAAAGAAAAACCCAAAGAAAGGAAAGAAGAAGGATCCAGGAGTGCCTAATCTTGCACCTTTTAAAGAAAAGATAATTGAGGAGGCTCAAGCAGAAAAGCAGAGGATTCAAGAAGAGCGTGAAAAGAAGAGGGAAGCGCTCAAAGCCGAGAGGATAGCCAAAGACAATGCTTCCAGCTCAAATTCCCTAAATGAGTTGGTTTCAGCAGTACAAACTAGAAATGAAGAATATGAAAATATGGCAAAGGCAAATGACTCAACAGATAACTCTGCAAAAGCATTTTATAAGGAGTTTAGGAAGGTCAGTCATTTTGAGTTGCTTTCAAGTAACTAAGTACCTAGTACCTACCTACCTGCCTATCTCTTAAGTGCTGTTAATTATCTGAGATTCATAATTTTCTTAATTTTTAGAGGGATCAAAAGAATGCATGCTCTTTACATGCCTTTGTGTTCTTTATCAATATCATTTATTTTATTAGGTAATAAGTTTGATCAGATGTTCATTGTGTCTGACATCAAATTACTATTTCAGCCAAATAGAACATTGCATGACTTAAAGATTATTACAAAAATATATTGCTACCAAGTCCCATTTTTGGTAAATATTTCAAAAGTTTGTGAATTAAATGTTTGAACCGATCCTTTCCAGGTTGTGGAGGCTGCAGATGTGGTGATCGAGGTGCTGGACGCCCGGGACCCCTTGGGCTCTCGCAGCAAGGAGCTGGAACAGACTGTTCTCGCAGCAGGCAGTTCCAAGCGGCTGGTCTTGCTGCTGAACAAGGCTGATCTGGTACCCAGGGAAAACCTCACTGCATGGGTGAAGTAAGTATGAAGGTCATGAAATGATTCTGCAATGCTATTGATACAAAGATCCATGGAATATAATAGTTCCATGCACATGTTGATAGTCTGTTGATATTGTGTTCATTGATATGCATATTTTCACAGCTAAAGATTCGATTGTGTGTCCCTCCTTGTGTGAATTGTGTTATGATGTCTGCTCATTTGCCAAACATAACTGAAAATCAGTCTTGCCATGCTACTGTCATAGATGGCATGCTTTATTTCTTCCCTCAGCTTCTCAGTTCTAGCCTACCTTCCCTCAGTGTTTCACTGATCTTTCATTTTTCCTCACACTCTCTGTGCTTCACTAATGTCCTCTCATCTTACAGCTTCATGCTTGCTTATATTAATGACCCCTCTCTCGCCGACCAGGTACCTTCGTGGCGAGTTTCCGACGGTGGCCTTCAAAGCCAGCACGCAGCAGCAGCGGGGAAACCTCAGTCAGAGCTCTCTGGACGCTCTCAGCTGCCCGGAGGCGCTGCTACAATCGCAGCGCTGCCTCGGCGCCGCACCTCTTCTCAAACTGCTCGGCAACTACTGCCGTAACCGCGGAATCAGCACCGGGATCTCGGTCGGCGTGGTCGGTCTGCCCAACGTCGGTAAGAGCAGTGTCATCAACAGTCTGAAGCGGAGCCGCGCGTGCGGCGTGGGCGCCACGCCCGGGGTGACCCGCGGCGTCCAGGAGGTGCAGCTGGACTCGCGCGTCCGTCTGCTGGACTCCCCCGGCCTGGTGCTACTCAGCGCCGAGCAGGGTGATGCTGCCGCCGCGCTGCGGAACGCCTTCAAGATCGAGCAGCTCGACGACCCGGCGCTGCCCGTGGAGGCGATTCTGCGACGTGCCGATCGCCGACAGCTGATGATGCACTATAAGCTGCCGACGTTCACCACCACGGCTGAGTTCCTGCTTCTGCTGGCGCGGCGGCAGGGCCGTCTGAAGAAGGGTGGTGTGCCGGACGCTGCCGCGGCCGCGCGGCTGGTGCTCCAAGACTGGAACACGGGCCGGATCAAGTACTACACACAGCCACCTGCTGCCGCCGCCACGACCGAGAACGCGGCCATCGTGGCGCAGTTCGCGGCCGAGTTTGATCTGGATGCGGTCACAGAGGAAGCTGATAAGGAGATGGAGGCGGTGGAGGCGCCGCGTGCCTCGCAGACCGTGCCGCTGGCGCCCGCTGAAGACGAGGAGGAGGAAGAGGCGGAGATGGAGACGGCCGAGCCGGCGGAAAACCTGAAGGTGAGTCGAGCTGAGTTTGAGGTAAATGTTGTTCTTGGGTATCGGGTATCGAATCGAGGTGATTTAAAGTCTGACTCATTCAAGCTCGTATTCACCGAGAGTCTTTCGATTTCACCATGTTGACAAAATCTTTAGTGTTTTTGCGCACGGTTTTGAAGTGTAGCATAGAAAACAAATAGCATACTAAAATTCCCCATTGTACGCTAAACTTGTGTTGCGCATTTGGCTATTTACTATCAACCTCACATTTTATCCAACGGTCGGTGGCAGAACTTGCTGGGCATCTAATGCCAGACCCGGTTTTTGTCCCTCTCAAGCATTCGCTCATGGCGCTATTAAAAACGGCATCACTCGTTTATAACATAACCATCATCTGTCCCTTCCTCAGGTGGACCTCGGCGCCAAGAAGAAGGGCAAGAAGCGGAAGTCCTCGGAGACGGACGAATCTGAGCGACCCGCCGAGCAGCAGGTACTCACCAAGAAGGCCTACAAGACCATGATGAAGAAGCGGAAGAAGACCAATGCGCGCACCGAGAGGAAAATGGACTCGCTGGCAGACGAGCTAAATCTTCAGTTGTGAGACACTAGGGGAGGGGTAGGCAACATCTGCTGGGTCAGGGAGGTTGGAACGCGCAGGCAAATGATCGCCTGGGATTAGAACGGTGATCGTTTGATTCACATGTTTTTCATGGCGCCCGTATCAAGAACGGCTCGTTTCTGTTCTGGGTCCCCAGTTGCTGGGTTTTTGAACTGCAGCTGCGACTGTTGAACTGTTCATCCGGCATCTTCCGACAGCGTCGCTAAATGGTCGGGCAGAGACAAGCGCTACTTCTGATGAACGTTGTTTGAGAATAATATATTGGTCCATCCCCACTGATTCCATTTTTACGCGATGGTTGTTTTCCCTTGGGTCTAGGGACGCCACAGCGATTAAATCATGGCTCCCTGGTAAAACTATGGAAACTAAAGCCCTCCACAAATTCAGTTATGCACATTTTCTGCCTTGGTGCATATTACAGTCATCAAAACACACTGGGATTCAGTGGTCCGAACTCAGGTTTGTTAGGGTCTCAACATATATACTCACATCCCAGGCATGAGACCTGCAATCCTCCGAGAGACGTGTAGGAGAAATAAAATGTCAGCCCAAAAAGAGACGCGACCCGCTCGTACTTGCTGTATTTTTACCGCCGCCGCGGACAACTGTGAACGTTGCGCCACCAATTCGTAGCTGAGCTCACAGCCCCCCTATCCCACTCACACAACACGATCAAGTACAGAACGCACAAACACATGTCAAAAACCTCATCACTCTAACACCATTTCGGTAAAACGCGTCGCACAGTTCACTGGTTATTTAACGTCACACTGAACCGAGTCACTACTCGATACATAATATTGCACTGGATCTACACATCGGACGCAGTTCTGCTTCACTGAGCTACCAAACGCCAAGAGTCCTACAGCGTTTAGTGAGATGCCTACCCTCCACCCTCAAGTCCCTACCAGAAGCTTCAGAAGTCTGAGCCAACAGACTGGCCAATGCAAACCTATAAAAGGTCAAACGACACTAATACCCCGGTCATTCCCAGCTTTGCGACCGGAAGGTGCAACACGTTATAAGCGACACACGGTCCCTTAGCGGATGATGGCGATCCGTTCACTGCTGTTCCCAGTAAATTCTTGTCTGCAGGGCATTTGCACAGTCTGGACCTTACTCGCGGGAAGTCTACCAAATCAATGAAGGATTCGCGATTGGACGTATAGTCGGTCAAATATGTATCTTTCCCGGCCGCCAAGTGGCGCTACGGTCTGGATTCGATAGTTGGCTGAGCCCACACCCCAGCGCCCTGGCGGCTCTGGCGGCCCTGTGACGTCACGCGCGGGGGGCGGAGCTACACAGCGGCCGGCTGGAGAGTGACCGCAGACCAGCACTGGACGGCCTCGCCGCCGGGTGCTCCGGCGGGTCTGGCCGGGAGAGGCGAGCAAGCGGATGCGTTAGGAATCTAACGAATGTGAGGGCAGCGCGATGGTCTAATGATGGCTGTGCTTTCATGCGCCGTGTAAATTGTAGACTGAGTGCTATGAGCTATCAAAGGATTATCTGGTGTTTCAACAGGGGTCGCTGACCTAAAAATTAAAGGAAAAGGGCCACCTTCGTGAAATATGAAGATATCGTTGTTTTTCATTTTGACATTATTATTTTTCATTTTCTTTTTAAAACTGGTGCCAGAAGTGTACAATTCGCGAAAAAGTATTTAAAACTATTTAACATATTGGTACTATGTTGATACTCTCTACGGCACCTACTGTATGATGGCATAGCGATGACGTCACACTCAAGCCAATCAGCGTTCAGAAGACAGACTCGTCGGATTGTGTCAGATAAGCTGATTGGTTAAAGCTGAGCTGGTTGGAGCTGATTGGTAAAAAACCAAAGCCTCGCCGCGGGTGGCTGTATTGTCGGATAAGAACGCATTCCTTGGATAAGGACGCATTCCTGGCGTATTTTCTTTTAAAATTGCCGATAACTACGAATGGAGGCCGAAATCGGCCGTAAGGAGGTAGACAGGTAAGTTTTCGGACACGGGCTACAAGATGGCTATCTCAGTTTCAATCCCCATGTTAAAGGTGGCCCTTTTCCTTTAATTAAGATGGTTGCTCTCATGGGCGTAACCACCGGGCTGGAACGCTGGAAATTCCAGCCCATTTTTGGGATGCTGAAATGTCGCCCCCGGTAGAGGAAGTCTACAATTGCGGGACTCGCGGACTTCAAAACGAAGCAAAAGAAACGGCACTGCTCGGTCCACTATACGCCTGACCTCAACGTACCGCTCCTCACTACTCGTGCCCTTTACACGCCGCCCCTCTCAGATGTCCTTCCGCCCCCCGCACCGACTCCCCCTCAAGTTCCTCGGAGCTCTCTATGTGCCGCCCCTCACAGAACCCCGTCGCCCTCAATGTGCCGCCCCTCCGCATAATGCTCTATCGCCGCTGTGCCGCCCTCCCCAGATGACTTGCCGCCCCTCCCCAGAGTACCTCGGCGCTCTCTATGTCCTGCCCTCGCCACAACTTCCCGCCGCCCTCAATAAGCCGCCCCTCCCCACAATGCTCTATCGCCATATGTGCCCCCCCCCCCCGAAGTGCCTCGGCGCCCTCTATGTGCCGCCCCTCACCACAAAACCCCGCCGCTCTCAATGCGTCGCCCCTCCCCACAACGCTTTACCACCGTCTGTGCCGCCCTCCATAGACGCCTTGCCGCCCTCCCCACAGTACCTCGGCACCCACTATGTGACGCCCCTCGCCACAACAACCCACCGCCCTCAACACGCCGCCCCTCTCCAAAATGTTCTATCGCAGTAGCGCCGCCCTCCCAAGGCACTTTGCCGCCGCTACCTGCCGCCCCTCCCCAGACGCCTCTCTGCCCTTACGTGCCTCCCCTTCTCAGAATGCGTCGAAACGTTTAATGATTCGCCCCTCCCTATGACGCTCCATCGACATCTGTGCCGCTCTCGGCCCGGGGGGGGGGGGAGTCGCGCCTCCCCCTGGCAAATATTTGCGATAGCTCAGTCAGGGGTGCTTAAATTGCTGCTGTTTATATATACTAACTACGCATTGACTTGGCGAATTGCGATGAAACGTGTCCGATATAGGTGAACATCGTGCGGACCGGGGGATTCATAATTCCATGGCTAGGTATCACAGTTTGGACTTTGGTTGCTCCTCTGAACGTGCGCAAGTGAAGGACGTGCGCACGTTTTGGCGGGCTCTGTATGCTGCCCAACACAAAGTGTTACATTTTGGTCTCGATAACTCAAAGGGACTCGCCTAGCGAATTCAGCCCATGAGAGCGTCAGGTGAGACGCTCTGATCGCAAACAACCATCGAAACCGCGAAATGGCTCTGTGTGATCGCTTGATGTGAGCCTTCCGGGCCAACGAGAAGTGTCCTGAGCGCGTAGCGAGACTCAGAGTCATCTGAAGCTGAGCACTTGAAAGAGTCCTCGGTCTACTGTGGGCCCTTGAGTGGGTGAGAGGTCTTTGGCTGGATCTCGTCCTGCAGGCTCACGCCTGGAATGGGTCCTATTTAAGCAGGCTCGAAAGCTTAGGGGCCATCAGAGGCCGGTGTGGGGCTCTGAGAGTTAAGCGTGGCTGCTTAAAAGTTGCGTACTGCTTTCAGAAGGCCTGTGCGTTGGGCACCCAAAGACCAGCGTGGTGCCTTAGAATGCCAGTGTCACGCCCTCAGAGATGCACCGGTCAAGCCCTTTGAGGTTCTCAGAGGCGTCGGTGTGGGGCTCTCACAGGCGAGTGTGTGATCCGTTGAGGTCTTGGCGTGATACCCTCAGAGGCCGGCGTGGTGCTGTTAGAAGCTGGTGGGGGCGTCCAGAGTCTTCAGTGTAGGACCCTCAGAGTCACCGTTGAGGACTTTCAGCGTCACCGGTGAGTGGCCGGACCGTGGGCAATGAGCCGGTATGGGACCCTCAGAGGAAGGCACCGGTGTGAGACTCTCAAGAGAGGTCAGTGTGAAGCCTTTAAAGTTGCCCGTGTGATGCAATGGGTGCACTGGCGTGGTGCCCTCAGAAGGCCCGTATGGAATTAAAGCTTAGCGAGGTGATAAAGGACTTGTGTGGTGCCTTCGGTAGGACCCTCAGAAGTGCCGGTGTAGGACCTTCAGAGCCACCGGCAAGGAGCCTTTGGAAGCATTGGTGTGGGGCCCTCAGAGGTATTATTGCTGACTGAGGCCAAAAAGGTGCCGGTGTATACCCTTCAGAAGTGCTACTGTGAGGCCTTGAGAGACGCTAGTGAGGGTCCTCAAAGGCGCCGTTGTGGGCCCTCAGAGACACTGGTGTGAGGCCGTCACAGACGAATGTGGGGCCCTTAGAGGCTTGAGCTGCTGGTCTGAACCCTTTACAAGCCAGCAGGGGGCTCTCAGAGACCAGCAAGGGGTCCTCAGACCAGCAAAGGGTCCTCATAGGCCGGCGCTACCTTCAGAAGCCCTGTGGGGTCCTTAGAGACCGGTATAATACTTTCAGACGCCGTTGGGGTACTCGAGAGTCGCCGATGTAGGGCACTCAAAAGTCACCGGTGGGTGGCCGTCAGATGCGCTGGTGTGGGGCCCTCAGAGGCGCCGATGTTGGGCCCTCAGAGCTGCTGATTTAGGTCCTTATGAGGCACTGGTGTGGGGCCCTCAGGGGTGCCAGTGTGGGGCCCTCAGAAGCACTGGTATGGGGCCCTCAGAGGTGGCAGTGTGGGGCACTCAGAGGCGCCGGTGTGGGACCTGCATAGTCGCCGGTGAGGCCCTTTACAGGCGCCAATATGGAGTTCCTCAGAGACACAGGACCATCAGAGGCGCGCATGGGGCCCTTAGAGCTGCTGTTGTGGACTCCTCATAAGCCGACAAGGGGATCTCAGAAGTCGATGGTGCGTTGAGGAGCCCTTTGGGGTCCTTAAACACCGGCGTGGTTTTCTCAGACGCCGCTGGGACCCTCAGAGTCACCAGCGTGGGGTCGTCCGAGGCACTGATGTGGGGCCCTCAGGACCGCCGATACAGGGCCTTTAGAGATACTGGTGTAGGCCCTCAGAGTTGGGGGGCATGGGACCCTCAGATACGCCGGTTTGGGACCTCGTAGGCGCCCGTGTGGGCCCTCAGAGTCGCCGTTATGGGGGCCCTCAGAGAAACTTGTGTGGGGCTATCACAGACGGGTTTGAGGCCACTAGAGGTGGCCGTAATAGGCCGGTAAGGGCCCTCAGAGACCAGCAAGGGGCACTAAGAAGCCGGCGTAGGGCTTTTATGGGGAACTTTGTGGCTACTTGAGACCGGTTTGGGCCCTCAGAGGCGCCGGTGAGGGCTATCAGTTGCCATGACGGGGCCCTCAGAGAAATTGGAGTGGGAACATCACAGACGGATGTGGGGCCCCTAGAGGTGGCCCCTAATGGGATGGTAAGGCCCCTCAGGCTGGTTAGGGCGCTCTGGCCGGTAAGGACCCTGAGGCCGGTAAGGGCCCTGAGGCCAATAACGGCCCTTAGAGACCGTTGAGGTCCCCTCGCTTTCGACGCCCATGGTCAGACTCAGATCCCATTGCAATTGAAGTCACCTGAATGAAGTGAACTATTGAGTGTGCCTGTCATTTATCAATCTGGTGCGACGTGCGTAGTAGCAAAGTCAAACTGCTAGCAACGGGCTGGCCACCGATCTTACGCATGCATATCTACCGCATGAAGTACCAAATCTCAAAGACCAGAGTTGTGGCGTGTTCTCTGCGTGTGCCCCTTACAACGTGTAGTCAGCTGATGAATGCTGATTATTGCTCTTCTTTCCCAAAGCGGAAGTACTTGATACACAACAGTGACACGGTAAAGGCCCTCAAGCACTCACCTCCATGACTCCCAAAACATAAGTGCCGCCATTCCCTTGGCATTTAATGCCGCCCCCCGGAGGGCGTTATTTCCAGCCCATTTTTTAAGGAGTGGTTACGCCCCTGGTTGCTCTTGATACGATCGAATGCTTGGTGATATGATGATTAGCGCAAGAGAAATATTTAATCGAATTATGACCGGTTATTTTTTGATAAAGCAAAAACTTTTTTCATTTTTTTTTTTTTGGCATTAACGGGAAAGCGTTAAGCCATATCTACTGAAAATCTTAACCTGCGCCGGGCCGGGGGGGGGGGCGATTTGCGCCCCCCCCCCCCAGGTTTTTCGCAGATAGCCGAAAAACGGCGGCGTGCAGCGCCACCAAATTTTGCATACCTGTTTTTCCATCTGTTGCGCATACTGTGTGCGAATTTTGACCTTATATGACTTAAGGTCAGGTCAACAGGTCGGTTTGAGTGACCTAACGTCACAAAAAGTTTGAACTTGCACCAAAGCTACAACTGTTGACCGATCGATATGAAACTTTCAGGAGTTAGTAAGGGTGACAATATCCACAAAATGTATGTCTCGGATTTTTTTATCTATGACCAGGTCAATCTCACAACCTCCCCATTATAAGTCAATGGGATAAATTTCAACTTCATCTGAATGCCACCCGATCCACACAATATATTCAGGATCATGGTGTTGCAGGTCCCTGGTCCCGGCATCTCAAACCTAGAGCGACTACACTCAAGTTCAAGCTAACGGTCTCCACTCTCCAATTCAGATACCTATCGAAACCTTTCCGCGACCCGGTGCTGTGGCTCAATCAGTGGGCCAGCTGGCCGCAGACCATACCCGCAGGGCATGAACCTTTGACCATATTAGGTCAACACGCCGTGGCCCAGCCCGCTCGCCAGGTCCGCGCTCATTGGCCGACGCGGCAACCGCACAACCTGTCCCCTCCCCTCCGTAGTACTCGCAGCGGCCGGCGGATTCAGCCAAGTTACCGACCTGCCCAGCGAGGGGAGGGCCGGCCGGGAAAGATACATATTCGACCGACTATACAGTTGGTGGACGCGCCGCCTCAGATGGTTTACCTTCAGTGTGTCACAGTCGCGGAAAGAAAATGGATTGAGTCCACAACCAATCAGCAAGAAACTCATCAAATCTGATTCACGAACACCTCAAGGCGAATTTTTCCCGCATTCCTGAATCGCAAGTCCACTTCTCCCCTTCATGATTGCACAAGGTCAAACCATCCATCACAACCCAACGATTGAATGTCCTCGACGTCCATAAGTTCTTCTGGCAGCATTTAACGAATGCGTATCTACCGCATCCTTCTCAACCCTTCAGTCGGTTCCTGTCCCTCCCTGCCAGCGCCTCTGTCGGCGTTTCTAGCCGCGCCCCTGGGTGCGCCCCTGCCATGACCCGTTAATAATTGACCAGCTTTTTAACGGCCTCCAGACAGCGCCACTTGGTCGGCATGTAGAACGGCTCATGCACGTGCGGGAACGGCGTGTCGTGACCGGTCACCCGCTGCACGGGCGCCTCCAGGTTCAGGAAACAGTCCGTCTGGCAGAGAGAGGCGAGGCGAGAAGCGTCAGCGGGCAGCACTGGCCTACGCAGGGCGAATCGGGTGCGGTCTAGCAGGCTACTGCGCGATCATACCATTTTAGCACATGAAAGCGGAGCTTCTCAGCTCATATACAATAAAAAAGCAAAATAACATAGAATAAAAAGGAACGAAATATAAATCAGGATAAAAGGCAGAACCAGTAGGAAAGGAGGAAACTGACAGATTCATCAAGGACTGCATTATCTTTATTCAGCAGAGCTTACTAGCAATCGCTGAAACAATGCACTACTGGCAAGAAAGAAAAGTAAGAGTTCGCTCTTGGCAGTTAGCACGCCTTCAGGTTAACCCTGCCTTACCTGAATGGAGGCTGCCAGCTCGGCTCCAAAGCCGCCGGTCAAAGGGGCCTCGTGCGAGATCAGACATCGGCCCGTTTTACACACCGACTGAAACGGAGAATGTGCACACGGTCATGGCTGAGAACGGTGGCACAGAGTCCGAACCGAAACCGAAGGGTTGCAGAGAGGTAGCTGGGATGGCACCGAACAAAGGATGTAGTACCACCAGCGCGGACCAAGCGTCACAGAAACACCACACTGCTGATAGTGAGACCTGTCATCTACATACACCAGGGCGCCATCTAACGGACCGATAAAACAGCGACATCTGTCCACGGGATACCTGAACCAGGCGCAACATTTCTGAGCGAAAAAAAAAAAACACAAAAACGTTGAGTGTGTCCTATAACTGCTATCAAATTAAGAACGACATCCCAATAATGACACAATGCAATGAGAGCAGTGTAACCAAAATAATGCACAGTAGCAGAGGGTACAAACAAGAGATTTGGTAAACAAGTAAAAGGCTAGGAGACGTCCTGGCCAACAAGAGATCCTGTAGAGTAACATAAAAGTCAGAGGGAATATAACGACAGGCCCACAGGACCTTCCCCAGTCTCCCCTACACTCATCATATACCCACCTTGAAGACGGTGTCTCGGTCCCAAGGCAGGATTGAGACAAGGTCAATGACCTCGCACGACACATTGAGTCTCTCGGCAGCCAAATCGGCCACCTCGCGCAGAACGTGCACCTGGGTACCCCAGCCGATCAGCGTGACGTCATCACCTGCAGAGGTGACGTCATAGCAAGCAATTAGAGTAGACACACTAGACATGACATACATGACAGAGCGAGCATATCGTGAAAGTGTCATCCTCCTAAAATCCTGTTTCTGTTGCATTCTCTTAGCTTTCAACACTCTCGCACAGGTCTGATTTTTCGACACGAGACTGCCGTTAGTTAATCATGAGTTCTGCTTTGGCTGGGAACTTCCCCTGCAGATAACCATGTCGGATACGTGTGAGCCCACAGCTGAGGGTCTCGCAGCCGAGTGGGAACATGCAAAGGCACCAGTGTGCCGCCAGGGGGAAGGCATAGAGGGCACCTTGGCAAGAAAGGCTAGGATGGAAGGTTTAAGAAAACTGATCGGCAAGCGACTGGTGAGTAGATATTGGCCAAAAGTGGTCGTCTGGCTGCGTTCGATTATCAAACTTATTACGAGAGTTAGCTGTTCGTCCCAAAACATAACCCGACAGGAAAGGAGTTAGTAAAGCTGGAGAGTTTGTTAAGTCAGTGGTTTCGAGTATTCCTTGGAGCTAATTAATTCAACATAAAAATGTGAATTTCATCAAATGCATGTTGCAAGTGTATAAGCCACCGCCTGTCTTTCATAATGTCCCAAAAGAAACACTTATTTGCAGGTGCCAGAACATAAGTATGTAAAGGAGAACAAAAACTTTTGGACCCGACTGGGACCAGCAAAGGGTCTTATTTCCAACATTGCCCCCACCGATATCATGTCTGAACGATCCAACCATCATTTCAAATATTCACCCGCGTCCCTGCAGGAAAATGGTGGGAGGGAAGACACCCCCTTCCGCCCTTCCTCCTCCAAAACTTTCCCTTTATCACTCCTCACACTAAGACGAAACTCAAACCCCACAAATCTCACCTTCGACGAGCACGTCTGCCCTTCCGATGGTCTCAGTGTAGTCGGCCACTGGCACCTCCTCGACTGCCGAACGATAGAGCACCTTCGGCTCGAAGAAGATGCACGGGTTCGGGTCTCTGATGCAGGCCAGCAGCAAGCCCTTGGCCTTTATCGGCCCTCGGGGGATAACGACCTGTGTGGATAGAATTGGGATGTAATATTACTCATGACTGACGAGGCAGATCAGTGGGGCTTTGTTCGCCGTCTCAGTCATCTCGAAGAATAATGGATGCTAAATGGATTATGTGAGCTAAGCGCTGAAGGTTACAACAAATCATGACAAAAGGAATAGTTGCACCGTTTCTAATAACAGATTCAGTTAGAAATATAAACATAAGCGCCAGCATATCCATTAGCACTCTTAAAAGTAGTTCTAATTACTCAAATGGCTAAGTTATCTATAGCTACAACTTGCAAGAGCACTGTAAATATTATAGTGCTTCACTAATTTCAATTCTGTGAAATCCTCAAATAACTATTTCAGCTTCCATCATCTCTCCTAAGCACCGCATTCATTCCTTCTGATACTTCCTCTTCCCCTCCCCATCTCGCCCCTCTCCCCCTCCTCTCTCTCACCTTGATGCCGGGCACGTGAGCGAAAAACGCCTCGGGCGACTGAGAGTGATAGAGCGCGCCGTGACCGACGGCGGAGCACGGGGCGCGGATCGTCAGCTTGCCGCAGTTGAACAGACCACCCGAGCGGTACCGGAATTTGGCGGCCTCGTTCACTATCTGGTGGCGTAGGGGGGTAGGGGGGGGGGGGGTCAGAGGTCAGAATATGTGGTCGGTGATGAAGCTGGGTGTGTCGGGAAGCAGACTGCATGGAGCATACCAGTTACACAGAGAAGTCATGTGAAACTAAAAATGGCCTCGTATAAACTGAGGCACCAAAAGTGGTTGTGGTGATGGCATGCAACTGAAGATTTACGTGCATGTCTATGATAAGATTCATCCCCGTCAGACGAACACACATACAGTAGACCCAGTTAGCTTCACGGCATATGCCATTATACAATATCAAATCATAAGCCGACCCGGACTTGTGCAACGTCACCAGCCCTTTTTGCGAGGTTAAACTTTTTCAAACATCCACCAGTCCTCTCTAACGTTTGCACGCCACCAACCTGATCGAAGGCGGGGAAGATGTAGTCGGCAAACTGAATCTCGGCGATGGCCGTGGCGCCGGCGGCCGCCAGACCGATGCCGAACGCGGCGATACCTTGCTCACAGAGCGGCGTGTTGAACACCCGGTCCTTGCCGTGTCTGTCGGAAGGTCAGGTCAAGTCAGGTCAAAGGTCAGAAGTCAGAGAGTTATGGGATAGAAATTCTGGTGAGGTGTCACAGCACACAGATAAAGATCAGAGATCACAAAACACAAGATGACTACTGATAAGACATTTATAAGTTCAAGTTAGCGGCAGTAAGTCCGAAACTTTCAATGCTATGATTCACAAGGACAGACCCCCCCCCTCCCCCAGCAAAGATTGTTGTGTTGACTCTGCCCCATGGCCTTCGATCGCAAAATTCCTGGTCCATGACAGAATTTAGAGTCCGAAGTTTAACGTACGCACCTTTAGTGCCCTGGTACGCACATAGCGACGCACGGCCGGTCCACTCACTGACTTCGCCTGGCTACAGCCTGCCACCAACCGCAACCATACCCGCCAGGAGGCTCATAAACATCGCGCCTCGAGCCTCGGACTTTTGAAGGGGACGTGTCTCTCACCACGTAGAGTCCAACACTTTATCGACTGACTCTACCGACTGTGCTACGGGACCAACAATTGCGATATTTTCGGACGATATATCCGAATAACCAGCACTGTGCCGACGAGCTCCTTGTCTCTTCTGTCACTCTCGCTGCAGTGTCACGGCACCCACTTGTCCTGCAGGCCGATGGTGCAGCGGAACACGCCGCCGAAGCCGACGTCCTCTCCGAAGATGACCGCGGTGCTGTCTGTGGCTAGAGCCGTGTCCAGGGCACTGTTCACTGACTGGAACAGGTTCATCCGAGTGGTCTCCCCTGGGAATAGAGAGAGGGAGGAGAGGGAAGAGAGGGAGAGAGGGAGAGAGAGAGAGAGAGAGAGAGAGAGAGAGAGAGAGAGAGAGAGAGAGAGAGAGAGAGAGACAGAGAGAGAGTCATTAGATATGCTGCACCTTTCGGCTGTACCTATACAAAGTGGATCATAGTTGCATCATCACTTTTTATACATGTGACTGGTGCATTTAACTCAGTGAGCTATGAAGCAAGGCAAAAATTGTAGACTGGTTAAAGCAAAGATACCAGCATGTCTGCTTTAGAAATACAAAAAATGCATGTCTTTATTTTTCTTCAGTTTGCACCTCTGGTTTTAGTACCTACCTACCCTTCAGACAGCATGTCAACTTGTCTAGGACAAGAAGTATAAATATTGCATTTACATCCAGGTACCCACTTTTACCTAAGTATCAAAGCACTGAAGCTCCCAGAATACTGATGACCATATCATGAATGAAAATTCATGTCAATTCATGTCAATTCATGTGATGTGATAATTTGTTATAGGTACCTACATGGTAAAAGTATAGCATATAAGAATGATAAATAACTACCATACATCTTGCTAAACATGATTTTTATGCTTTGCAACAATTACAAATCTGGCTGCTTCTTGCATTTAAGGCATTAAGCAGCTGCAGGTATTGCTTAACGGAAGGCTCAGCCATGTGTTGACAGCCATGGACCATTTTCGAATTTTTGCCAGAAACTAATAATTTATTCCTAATTTAAAAAAGGTTAACTTGAAATATTTAGAGCCCAAAATGCATTACTTAATGTGAAATGTGCTGTCAAATGATATGCCAATTGCCTTCTGCGCCGCCCATAATTATAACGTTCAGGAATCAATGACATCTATCTATCAGGTTAATTTTGCACAAAGCAAATATTGTGTACCCCAACCAATATGCCAACATTTATATTGAAAGCTTACCTTGAGCTTCTGAAACGGTATCTGGAAAATATGTGAAATGTGCCGCATTTCTAACCGAACCCAGCACTCCTTTATTGAAGCCTAGAACCCTCAGACCGGGCTTCAAATGTCTTGCAATTGATCTTATGGACGACATGTTGAAGACTGGTTGTTCCAATAGGGAAATAGCTCCAAAATAATCAGGAAATAATGAAATCTTATATCATCCACCAATACAACAACATTTCTGAAGTTTCCGACTATTGAAAACTAGTTTGTCTCTCATGCGCAGAAGATGCCTCGAACATTCTGTTGGATGCGGCTGTCAAAACAAAGGTCATGCTATATGTATAAAAATGGCTTTCAATTTGTCATATATAAAAAGATCTAAAGGATAAAACACTAGTTAAACCGCTTGGATGTACTTTATTTTAAAGATTATAAAGAAATAAATAACTTCATTTATATTTTGTTCCTTAGAGTTACCGTTGGCCAATCACGCAGTTGGGTGCTATGCGCAGTGCGCACTGTGACCAATCTGTGATGTGGTCAGTCGGTGCCGGTATCGAGGCAGGTCATAGGCAGGGGCGTAGGCAGGGGGGGGGCCACTGGGCCATGGCCCCCCCCTTGGGCGCCGAAGGCGCCCTTTGCGATTGGAGGGCGCCGAAGGCGCCCTCCAATCGCAAATGCAATTGTGATATAATCGAATCGAAAAACAATCGCGACTGGAGGGCGCCCTCCAATCGCGAATGTGTTTACAGGGAAAATACGGATAGAGGGCGCCCTCGGAGGACGCCCATTCCAAATACGCCCTCCAAATACGGTTGGAGGGCTCCCTCGGGCGCCCTCCAACCACATTTGTAGGCTGTAGCTCTCTAAGCGTAACGGTGGTCGCCTATGTAAGCCGCTGTCCTGTAAATAAGCGCCCTCTCACCCGAAGGCGCCCTCCTGTAGGTCGCCACCCTGCTACACATTGCCGCCCTTCTGCTGATCGGCGTCCTCATAATTATTGGCGCTCTTCTACCTATTGCGCCCTCATGTGAAATTTTGAAGGCCGCCTTTCTTCCTTTTGGCACCCTCTTGTTCAGTGCCGCCCTCCTACCTATTGGTTCCCTAGTCCTTCCTGTTGAATGCTAATCGGGGCCCTTCTCCTATTGGCGCCCTCGTGTTGATCGCCGCCCTCCTAACCACTGGCACCCTCCTGTTGATCACCGCCCTCCTATCTACTGGCACCTTCCTGTTGACCAGCGCCCTCCGCACAGACGCCCTCCTGTTCGTGTCATCCTCTTGAGCAAAGGCGCCCTCCTCACCATTGCCACCCCCATTTTAATCGTCACCCTTCCGCTCATTGGCGACTTGCAGTTGATGACCGCCCTCCCACCTATTGGCGACCTCTTGTTGATCGCCACCCTCCTATTGGTGCTCTCCTGTTCCTCGCCACCCTCTTACCTGGTGGCGCCCTCCTGTTGATTGTTGATCGGGGCCCTCCTACCTATTGGTGCCCTCCTGTTGATCGCTGCCCTTCTATCCATTGGCGCCCTCCTGCTGCTCGCCAACTTCCTACCTATCGGTGCCCTACTGTCGAAACTCGGGATGTTGATCGGGGCTCTTCTACCTATTAGCGCCCTCCTGTGGATCGCAGCCCTTCTACCTATTGGCAACATCCGTTGATCGCTGCCCTCCTATCATTTATTTACTCCTTTGGCATGTTCTTCAACTTAGTCGTTCTATTGCACATAGTTGATGTCTTGCCTGTGAAAACTGCCACAAATGAACGTGCATTCAGGCTTCAGCACAATGAATGAAGTACCTATACCTACCAAAACTATCTACGCTCTACGATGCATAAAACACGTCTTTGGTCTTAACGGATTGATCCTACTTTACGTGCATCATGGCATCTATATGTATTACGATTAAGTATTGTCAACAGGTTCGGCCGCAACAGCAGGCATCTGAAGTTTCGGTGATTGAAACTGGTTATGTGGGTACACTGTATGCACCTGTGAGAAGGCTATGAAGGCTGGTCTGAGGTAATTTGGATGATGTTTACGCATCTCGCGCTCCGGTATCAATCCGATACGGTGATCTGGTGCGTAGATATGCCACCGCCAATAAACTTTTATACATCGACACCCATGAGCCAAGCTTTCTATACAGTTTGTGTGGCAGCGGCCCGACCAAACCTTAGGTATTTTTATACCTTCAAATTTGGTAAAAGAGCGAGAGGAGCTTTGAACAGTGATCGTATAAAAGGCGTGCCTAAAAAGCGGAGGAAAAGGTTGTTTTCAAAAATTTCGCGCGCCTTCGGCGCAGCATTTCAAGACCACTTGACCTTTTGTGACCTGGAGTATAAAGAATACACACGATGCAAAATCAATGCAGCACGACCTATACGAGGTTACGCAAAAAAAAAAACTGGTGGCATGGTAAAAAACGCCTCCCAACCCCCCCCCCCCCCCCCCCCCGTTGAGTGATTTTTTATCTCGCGACCGTATGGCGCCCTCCTTGGGTGAGGTGGCGCCCTCCAAACCCTTGGCCCCCCCCTTCGCGATTTTCTAAATACGCCGCTGGTCATAGGTACTGAGGTTTTTCATCAAGAGCTGGAATCGCTTTCATAGTCTGATGGTACTGGTCTGGTTCTATCGCTATGCAGGCCTGGTAGGGAAAGGGAGCTACCAATGAGCACGAAATAGTCCAACATAAGACGGCTGGGGCTGTGGACTGTGGCGTTGCATCGTCAGAGTGTCTTTAGTATCCTAGAATCGGCCAGTGGAATTCAGAGCGTTACCAACAATTTCGGAAAGTGACAAATTGTGCCACTCGAAGTGACTGGCAGAGGTGCTAGTCAAATCCGCGGGCGTCGGCACTTGCCACCGGCTGTATAAACTCCACAGACGGTCTCGGCGCTAGTCACGCTGATTCGCTATGGGAGCCGCCAGGTGCTGCCGAGACGGCTGGCGTGTTCCCACGTCCGGCAGCGCCGATCCCGTCATCAGTGACAATAAGGACTCCTCCCAGCGATCCGTGTTTCTAGTCGTGCCCCGTCCGGCTCATTGAGAAGTGTCACCGCTCTTGTGACCGTTCGGCAACCGGTGATCAGCGCTTGTGTAGCTGCTCGAAGACTAGCCTCACCGTTGTGTAGCTGCTCGAAGACTAGCCTCATCGTTGACCCCGAGTCAATCACATCATCAAGATGTCTCTCCAGCTGTGTTTGGCCGCCTTGGCAGTCATCTCCTCCACCTCCGTCTCCGCCTCCGCCTCCGCCTCCGCCTCCGCCTCCGCCCCCGCCTACGCCTCTGTCACGGAGGACGGTTGCCCCAGCGCCGACTGGGTGCGGTTCGAGTCGAACTGCTACTGGAAGTCCCCCTTCCAGCTGAGTTGGCGGCGCATCGCCGACGTTTGCGACTCCATCTCCCCCGGTGCGCTGCCGACCTCCGTTCACAGCTTCACCGAAGACGCCTTCATCGCGGAGACTCTTCTGGAAGGCGCCAGGGGGTGGCTGGGTCTGCACAGGAACGATACACACATCAGCTGGACCTGGGCTGACGGGTCAGACTATAACCGATACTACTTTGGGTGCAATGAGCCGAGTTTTGAGGGCGAGGCGTGCGCCGTCATCAACCACGGCCGGATTGGAGAATGGGCGTCCTTCTCGTGCGACGACGAGCAGTACTTTGTGTGTCGCGTGCACGCCAAGTAGACGGTGCGTGGGCCGCAGAGGTCTAAGTGCTTACACCGCACATATGTATAACAGAAAAAGGCTCATAATGTTCGCCATGGATGTGTTACGTGTAATCGATTGGTGACTTCCGAATAAAGCTAGGTGTACTCGCAACTGTGATTTGTCGCACAGGGACTGTGGCTGAAGAAATGTTTCAGTTCTTTCTTTTGCAGCACACACATTTTTAAGCTACTTTGGCCACGGAACAATAAACGCCGCATACGGCATCAATTCATATTTTGGGGTTTGCATTTGAACGCAGAGCTCAGACAAGTTTACCTATAGCTCAAAATTAAGTTCGGAATGGGTAGCGACGGTTCGACTTTTAATTCAGTGTATAAGCCGCCCATGCCTTTTTACCTTCGACGCATCATCCGACATCCCATATGGCATATTCGGCTGGATTCAGCCGGACTCAGCCGATCGGTTAGGGATCGGGTCGACCCAATTTACTTGCGAACGATAGAGCTCTAACCTAACGGTCGTTAACCTTACGTTAACGTTTATGATTTCGGCCACGTAGGGAATATGTGGCCGAGGTCATTCGGTGGCGTTCCCGGCTATTTGACCTAAAAAGGTCAACAAGGGTCACGGGCACAAAATCGGCTGTGGCCCACAAATTGAGGTAAAGCAATGAAAATAACGCTAAGTGAATCGTACAGACCTGACGTTGCCCTTCCATTATCAGTTTAGCTTCTGGGCCAAGTAAGATCACTTACCTGCGGGTTGAAAAAAAAAACGTTTTCGTTCTTAATCTTCAAATAAGAGCAGGAATGATATAAACGTCAGGAAAAGTTAGCTTAACGTCTAGGTCCTAAGACTAGGTACATACGTGTCGGACAAAAACGCTTGCGTTCTAAATCTTCGAATAGGCCAGCAGGAATAATTGTGATCGAATGCCCATAATTCGATATCACACAGATCGTATTAGCTTTCCCAGCAAACCTCCAGTTAATATCTGTAATCTGGCCTCTACATAATAGGAAAACAAATGCAGCAATTATCTGTCTTAACACGCGCACTGCAGGGGGGGTTGTTTTCAACCCCCCCTGTGGTTTTTTCGCAAATCCCGAGAAAACGGCGGCGCGCAGCGCCGCCAAATTTTGCATACCTGTTCTCCCAACTTTTGCACACCTTGAGTAAAAATTTTGACCCCAGGTGACCTATGGTCAGGTCACCAGGTCAGGTCAAGTGACCCTACCTCGAAACGTAAATTTCGAAGTTTGCAATCCCACCAAGCCCACAGTTGTTGAGATATGATCTTGAAACCCACAGGAAATAGTAAAGTCATCACGAGCTACAACTTGTTTATCTCGGAATTTTTATATCGATGACCTAAGGTCAGGTCATTTTTGCGACCGGCCCATTATAAGTCAATGGGAGAAATTTCAACTTACTCTGAATGCCATCCTATGACTTTAATACGCTCAGGATCATAGTATTACAGGTCCCTGTTGGTGATTTCACCGAAACATATCACTTGTGACCTTTGGAAGGTGATCTCCAGGTCATCTTAGGTCACCTGAGGTCACCAGCGGTTTTTCTTCAATAACTTGAGATTGAATAGAGATAGAGACTCCGTTCGACGTTTATCGTGTTTTTCTCGTCAATGCAGATCGAATGATATGCAATATGACCTATTTCGGTCAGGTCATGACCTTGACCTGAGGTCAAATTTTCAACTTGACCTTTCGAGGTCATATTATATATCATTCGATGCGCCTTGACGAGCTAAGAACGATGGCGTTCGAATCGATCCTCTATCTTGTGTGCAAGACAAGTTATTCAAGAAAAACTACCGCGAAATTCCTGTTGTGAAAATCGTAACATTTTGTCTTCGGTAACCTCTGGTGACCTCGTTTTTGACCTGAGACAAAAATGACCTAGTATTTCCTCTAAATAACATCTCCACCTATCTAACGCCGTTTACCGTTTGTCACTACGTTGCGCCGTTTTCGAGATCTCAGGGGGGTTGTTTTCAACCCCCCCCCCCTGCAGTTCGTGTTCGGCTCAGACCAGAACCGCTGCAGTGCGCGTGTTAAATCGTTAGTCCAAAGTCTGTATTACGTAAAATCGTAATCGCATATCATTTGTAGGTAGATATTAGGTTAAAGTGAAAAAATAAATATCATGATATAAGTTCAAAAACGTTACTAAGTTAAAACCGCTAATCCCAAATCATAAATCGTTGGGCGATACCTAAATGCAGTTATCCTTACGATTAAAATACGACAAATTACGGACAAGAGGAAATGTGCAAGACCCGACGCACTCCACGATTCAGCACTGATATTCAGGTCGAGCGAGGTCACTGGCTCACACGCAGTTTACGAGAAACGTTACCTGGGCGTATGAGTGAATGAGAGGGGAGTGACGGCTTTTCTGGAACACCTAGCGCCTTAGCGAGGCCTTTAGTTCGGAGTTCGGTGTATGAGTGCATGAGAATAACGCATTATCGAGAACGCATATTCATGAACGGTTCACGGGAAACTTCTGTCTATGGAATGACGTGCTTTTCGAGCGTTATCATTGCAATCAATTTTATATCCAGGATCTGTTATGCGTTGTTTTTTTACACGATCGTAAATGGCCTTGGGTCGTCGCGTGAAGCGGTCACATAGCCAGCGGCGGTCGAATGCGAGCTCCTCCCTCCCCTCTCCTCCCATGGCCTCCCCCAGCTCAGTTAGCTGAGTGCTGACATCCGGTTATTTTGGGATCACCACTGCACCGACGAACCGCTGACGCAAGCTGGACGGTCGCTATACGGAGCGTCCCAGAGAGGTTTCAGGCACATCTCTCGGACCAAGGAGTTGAAATGTGCATCTACTTCTTCTAGTCGGTCATTATTCTTTCGTTTTTCCCTCAATTTCGTTCTTCTTTCGTCGTTATTCCGTGCTTTTGTACGTCCAAGCAGCATCGATGTCGTGAAAGACCACTGTGACTTGTGAGTATGTATATAGTTCCTTGCCTGTAATGCATGACCATGGGAAAGCCAGTTTGTGCTTAGGAATGGAATATTTCTTGTCTAAAGACTTCTCTCTCCTCTTGTCTGGGACCCGTGTAATTAAGGTATATAACCAATAACCATGCTGATGCTGATCTTTATAATCGTCGTGCTGCTGAGCATTGGACGAACACGATCGTGTCACGTGTGCTCATACTTTGCCGCTGAACGTGCATGGAGACGTTGGGTTGGAGCTCTGAGAACGTCTCCGGCGACTGGGCGGGCTGGTACGGAGTCGCGAACGGCAGGTAGAGGAGCAGCGGCTTGGACGGGTCGTGTTCGCTGATACTGCGCTCGGCGCGGGAGGCGAACAGATTGCGTCGAGTAAACAACGGTCAAACTCAAAGAATCAAATAAACAAGCAAACAAACAAACGCATGAATGAATGGATGGAGGGACAACCCAACAAATAAACACGCAAATAATTTAATGCATGTTTTATGCAGTATAGCAGCTATCTTATTCTATTTGATACATGTAGGTATAATCTATTTTCTCTAAAACTCATCGTCTCACCGTATATCACGTAAGTAATTTACACATCCCAGACGCCTTTTAGTTCGAGACCTTTTCAACGCTATGACCAACGATCATGTGCTAGTCGTTCCGGTCACGCGATTGGTCGGTCGTGCCCCCCCCCCCCCCCCCAGCCCGGGATCTGGCCCGGCCCCAATCGGCTTAGTCAGCCCCCAGCGGAGAGCACCATCGACCCTGTTACGTGGCATTGACCGGGCAGAGCCCACTCTGGGGGGGCTGGGCCCCAAAGGGGTACAGGGGGGATGAGGGGGGCGTCTCCGTCGGCAGACGAGATACGCCGCCAGTCGGCAGTCCTTGGGCAGTCCCGGCAGTCCAGGACTGGCGCGGGAGGTGGTTGGGTGTGTGCTGTGGCGCCGGCTGGTTCAAACTAAGCACTACGCAGTGGCCTCGGCAGATGAGCGACTCAGTGCAAGGCCAGAGGAAGCAGGGAGCGAGCGAAAGTGCAAAAGGGTTCGTCGCTTCGGTCTCAGAACACGGTACGAACTTCACTTGAGAGGGCCCAAGCTATGCCCGTACATGTGAAGAGATATTTCTGCTTAGGCTGTTACGCTATTACCTGATATGCAGTTTGAACTTTGATGCCAGCTTTATAACCATTCAGCTTCTCCTTGAGGGCGGGATAATAGTTTGCAATGCACGCAAATTGTCAATCAGTCTGGGAGACTTTCGAAATTTTCATCGACACCTTCGTTACCTGTTGCCCCTTGGTTGCCAACCTGTTGCTTTGCTACCTGTCGTATCGTTACCTTTTTCCGCCCCGCGTTTTTGCTTCAGGTGAGAAGCGATTCTGTCGAAAGAATCACTCTAAATACCTAACCCTCCTAAATAATAAGCTGCGGTTTAATTTCTTTGACTAGTGGCGACTTCGCTCATATAAAGCTCATGCAGGTAACAACTACTCCTTTAAGGGAAACGTCCATATCAAAGCTTTATCTGACTTCTTTACGAGAGCCCGTAAAAAGGCTTTACACAGTCATCAGATATTATTCGGCCAATGTCATCATCTAATTGTCACTTATACCGCGAGACCCTATGGACATTTCCCCGACGGTAACTGTCGTAAACGAGACTCAAGACGGTCGACAAGTCGCTGTCAATGCGCGAGGCTTCAAGTCAAAACGACCACCACGCCGAACACGCAAGGTAAATGCCTTTTCATCCATGGCTTTCAAGTTCCCAGCTAGGGAAAGGCGCCGGAACAATCCATAGTGTTGAAGCTGAATAGGCTGCCCAATAAAATACCTTCTGCTAAAAAGAATTGTCCAGCATAGCTTAACTAACGGCATTCCTAAACGCTGCCATTTACCTACATAGTCTTATTTTCCCACCATCACTCAGTTATGCACTTATTTACGTTCAGTTAGGTATCGCTTTTAGCACACCTTACGTTAGAGTAGGTATATGTTTTCCAAACAATGATGCAAAATTAGCCAACAGTTGCGGAACCTACGGAAAGGAGGTTCAAAGAAAAGGAGAAAAACGCCCTATCCCACGGGCACGTGTGATCGGTTTAGGTATAGCTACCCCGTGCTCCGGCCGGGATAATAGAAAAACTCGAGTTTGTATTTGTATTTATTTGTATTTGTATTTATTCAACAGACCGTCAACAGGCACTTGACCCACTAAAAGACGGAGTCACAAGATTGAAAACAAGTTCTAGCCTGACCTTGACCTCACTTGTGAACTACTTGAGCATTTCTTTTATGTACTCAAAACTCAAAAGACCCGTCTTGCTGCGAGCCCTTGATTGCCGTTTGCTCCGTCTTTCTGCGACCATCGTTCGGTTAACCCGCGCCCCACTGGGGTCTGCGTATAACGCGCCCTACTGGGGGGGGGGGCTATTCATAGCCCCCCCTCCTAACTCCGAAACTACTGGGCCGATCGTCAAAATTCAAACGGCGTCTGATATCCCCGGAAAAACTGTCGAGCGAAACCTAATTTCATTGACCTCGAGGTCACCGATGACGTCACAGGTCAGGTCAAAGTAAAAATTATTAGCATTTTGGCTTCTTCACGTTTTGGGCTCTGGCCGCCGTCTTACAAGTCAGATCAGGCTCATTTTTGGTTCACACACTCGTGAACAGATGCTCTAGATACTCTGAGGGTACCAAACTTGTACTTTGATTTTCAGGTCAAGGTCAGGTCATCACAGGTCACGAAAATATTATATCATCCGTCGGTCACGTGACACATGTTTTATGGTCCATTTAGGCCAAACATTTCGAATTTGATGTCGTCTGTGTCATTCGAGGTCATTTTGAGTCAAATTTAGCTCAGGTCAGGTCACTTTCAGGTCAAAAAAGGTCAAATTTTGAAGTTATAATTTTTCAACAAAAAAGGTGTCTATTGGATGCAGTTTGAGCTCAGGAACACGATGGTGCTATTTATATTGGCGTACGATGTCAAATTCGTGCTGAAAAATTGATTTGAAAAATTAATAATTGTTAATTTTTTGCAATAATGCGTATAACTTGGCCATTTTTGAAGATATTTAGCTAAAACTTGCTAGAGCTAGTCATAATAATGCGTTCTATCACATATATTCCGGTTTTTTCGAAAAGTCAAAAAGTTTTTGAAAAAAATGTAAAAATATAAATTTTGAATTTTATTATATAAAATTTTCGAAATTTTCAAAATTTCGAAAATCTGAGATAGCAGTTTGATAGCGCAGACTATTCTGAGTCCGCTCATGCAAAGAAATTGGATCTAGCTTAAAAACTGAGCTCTTGGGAGCGATTGCCGTGGTTCAATGTTTTGCGTCGAAATCGGCCGAACATGACGTCACTCTGACGTCATTTCCGGCCGACCTATGGTAGGTACGAAGTTCAAATTTTGACACAAGGTGTCAAATTGATGCAGCCGAAGGTGCTGAAAGTTTGGCGTCGATACGTTAAGCGGTTTGGAAGTTATTGCAGAAAAACGGGAGGGGGGGCTATAAATAGCCCCCCCCCCCAGTGGGGCGCGGGTTAAGTTAAATAGGAAAGGGCAGAATCACCTCCCCCTCCCATACGAGGGGCGTTCGAGTGAAAACGCCATCTGGATCCGGGTTAAATTAAAATAACAAGAAATTGAAATAAACGGGGGTCTATTCCGATCAGTCGTATACGGCACGGAAAAACACACGGATGTTGCAAAAAAAATGTGTGCCATTGCAAGGGCAACACACAGGTGAATGAATATAACTGCTCACGGCCGGGAACCAAACATCCGTTCACTGCACAGCGCACAACGTGACCGGAATGTCGCCGGGTGCACGATCAACAGTCGGAAAGTGCAAACAGTTAGACAACATAAGCTGGAAAGCAACACCGAAACCTATACTCTGAATTAGGCATGCTATGCTTATAGCCTATAGGGGCTATAGGCATGGCCCGCATGTATAATGTGCATTGTGCATGGCCAGCGTATTTTGAGAAATCGCGAAAACCGTCAAGGAGTCTCTCTCCCCCCCCCCCCCCCACCCACCCACACACTTGGCCCGCCGGAAGGTGTTTGTGGTATATAGGTACATACGTTTGTGTTTCAAAATGTATAGGCATTTTCCTTGACCGTTTCTGATCCATCCGACTCACACTAGCCGAAAACTGACAGCTAAATTCCATTCCCAGAGTCAACCACATCTCCATGGGCCTCTGAGGAGATGGAGGAGCCCCACGGCATGGATAAGCAGGCTCGACAAGACGCGACATTCATATCCGGAGCTCATCCCTGAAAGGCGGAGCCCCAGGATGGGCCGGGTACGTCGCCAGCCACGCGGCACGCGTCGGCCGCCGGTGGCGCTGATCGGTCTGCTACTTCTCTCAGTCATCATGTGCAGCACCTGGTGGCTGTCCAGTAGACACGACTCGCCCCGCCTCTCGCCATACGAGGCGCTCGCCCAGGCCGAGTTCGAGCGCGACGCGCAACGTCTTCCAGTCGCCACGGGACTGATCGTGAACTCGTCCGCCTGCCGACTGCCAGACTACGATCCCTGGGACGCCAGCGTGGCAGGGCTGATCCGGGAGGACCACCGGTTCCCCGGGTGTCGACAGAACTTTCCCGTGAGGCTGGCGCAGGACGGGAGACTTCTGCGGATGTACACCAGTGCGGATACCAGCTGCAAGCTGCGCTGCTGCCACAGAAGTGTGATGAGAAGGGACGAAGGCAGATCGGACGATAACTATCAGTTCGGAAACACGAGCACTTGTTTCGAGGAGGGGAAAGCCGTGGAAGTGAACGATGAGTTCATTCAAGTGAAGTGTTTCTGCAAGGGGAACGACACAGCCATTTACGAAGACTTCCGCGCCTTTATTGTGCCCAAACCAGCCGGACCTTTTGCATCGGAGGCGAGCAAGAATAAGGCGGAGAAACTGAACGTTTACATGGTAGGTCTCGACTCGGTCTCGAGGCTTCAATTTAAACGGTTCATGCCTGAAATCGAGACGCTTCTGGCAAACGACTTTGATGCTGTCTCCATGGATGGACTCACAAAGGTCGGCGTCAACACCTTCCCGAACATGCTGGCCTTTCTGGCCGGAATGGAGCTGAATGAGGTGAAATTCCTGCGAGACCGCTCCTTTGACGAATTGCCTTTGATCTGGAAGTATTTCCACCGCCTGGGCTACGTCACGATGTTCAACGAAGACACGCCTGTCGAAGCGACGTTCAACTACCTCAAGCTGGGATTTTTCCTCACGCCTACGGATTTCTACATGCGCCCATTCTACAGGGCCATCGAGGAATCGCGCTTAGTGCGCAGTCAACAAACGCTTTGCATCAACCAACGCGAACAGCTAGACCTACAACTACAGTGGCTGCAGGACTTTATGACATCGGAGACGATGTCGTCTTCGCCGCAGTTCGCCCTCCTGTTCAGCAGCACGCTCAGTCACAAGGGTCCTCTGCCATTCGTGGAGGCGATGCAGGCACGTCTGGAGGAGTTCCTCATCTGGTACAGGAACTCGCCGAGGTACAACTCTTCCATCATGTTCCTGTTCAGCGACCACGGCATGCGCTTCGGTCCGGTGATGCGTAGAGAGTTGGGCGGGTACGAGTCCCGACTACCGTTCTTTTACGTCATCCCTCCTCCGTGGTACGCTCGCAAGTTCCCGGAGAGAATGGAAGCACTGCGAACCAACTCACGTCGTCTGACTACCTTCTTTGACGCGCACGCGACGCTACGTCAGCTACTTCTGGATGGTGGATTCCCGGAGAGCGAGCTGCCGCCGTTCCGCCATCCGGGCAGGAGTCTGTTCCGGTCTGTCCCCGAGGAGAGGTCGTGTCATGACGCCGGTATCGCGGCCCACTGGTGTGCCTGTCACTTGCGGCAGCCAGTGCCGCTGGATGATGAGGTTGTGCGTCGGGCAGCCGAAGCAGCGGTCCGACACATCAACAAGGTGCTCCTGGGGGACCTCCAGAGCCAGTGTGCCGAGCTGACGCTGTCGCGAGTGGCGGCCGCGTTTCACGTGCGATCTCAGCGCGGTGGTAAAGTGCAGGACATGAGTATCGTGCTACCGGCGTTCGAGGAGTACGTGGTGAAGTTCGTCACGACGCCAGGCGCCGGAGAATTCGAGGCGACCGTTAGGGCTAGGTGGAGAGAGGACGGACCGAAGGACCACCCAGAGAAGGCTCACGAGGGCGACCATTGGCCGAAGACGGCCGAGGAGCGAGCCAGCGCTCATGAAGAACGGAAGGAAGCAGTGGCCTCCGGACCCGGTGGGAAGCCGGGGGAGGAGGCGATCGCAGTGGTCGAGGTGTCACGATTGAACATGTTCAGGGGTCAGAGCGACTGCCTGCTGACACAATGGGACGAGCGAAGGTTCTGCTATTGCAAGAATCTGCTCTGAAGCTAGGAATGACACGGTTTGACAGGCCGTTCGAGGCTTTCAGGGTAGTCTCAGTAGCTCAGAGTAGCGGGCAAATCGGTCGTCTGGTCAGGGTATCAGCGTTACGGGCGTAGGATACACTGGAAAAGACACTATTTATTCAGTATCCTCGAATCGACAGTGCCTATTCGTGTTGGAGATAGTTGTAACGAGGCACAGTGTCTTCATTGCCTCTCGCATCTCAGTGATACCATACGAGGTCTGCCTGGGTTTTGTTTGATGAGCTTTGAATGTCGGTGCTGTGCTATTTGTGGCTCCGATGAAAGCACATTTCCGCTCTCAGTCAGGCTCTGGGTAAGTGAAATGAAACGAGCTTGCGGATGAACTGCAGAAGTGATATAAACTGCCCCTTATTGTAATTGTAATTGCATATGAAGCGTGTGTTGTGTGATGTGCAATTGGTTGCGACTGTCAGGCTGCTACTGGTGCCTCTATAGCTTGAACTTCCTAAGTATAGAATGTGTAATGGGCATTGCACTGGTCTTTATTTATTTACGAATTAGGATAGCACGTCGTTTGTCATGAAATATAAATGAGAAAGATCGTTTTAATGACCTCGGGAAAGCCCACGGTCGAACAGACTTTCAAAAAGCTGTAGCAGTTTCGCTATACCTTTTGATAGTTCGAACAATGCGCACACCTTTTATCGTCGAGGCCCCGTAACATTGGGTATCGATTATCACGACGTTGTTCAGTCTCATCAATTCATTCTATTCATCAGAGGTGTAAACTTTTGGTACGCATCAAATAGATACCGAGATCGAGTCGATCGAGAAAATAATGAACCAATTCATGAAGACGTTGCACAGGCTAAGAGCGGGAGCATTTCCAGACGGACTTCACAAGTGTATATATAGACAAGGACCAGCATATTAACGAGTATACAATTCATATCAGCACATTTACCTACACCTGACAGGCGCCATATGGCAAATACATGAGCCAAAGTTAATGCGCATCATACAAAGGCTCGAGTCTCAATAAAAGTTCACAATCGACAAACGGAACTATTTAGGAATGAACGAGGTAAATGAATTGTTTTATACTGTGCGATTAACGAAACGATCAAACCAATCTATCCGTCGTTGGTTATCCATTGCGAACGTTAGAAGCGATGGACACACTGGCCAAAGGCATCGTTAGACAAGCACACCCACCTTTCCATTTCCTGCCGCACATTCCACGCTAGAAGCGATGCACCGCCTCACTAACCGCAGCGAACAGGCCATGAAAATCCTTCGCGATGACGGCATCCGTTTCCACCTCCGCCCGCGCTAGTTCTTCCATAGTTTCTGCGTTCAGTACCACCAGAGCCGTGCGCCGGGGCTCAGTGACGTGTAGCAAAGAGGCCAGAATCAGCCCCGAGTCTTCGGAGGTGGCGCCTGGCTGACGAACGAACACTGGCTCCGAGGGCGTCCACGAGGGGTCGTACCAGCAGCACGAGGCGCCTGTCTGAACGTCCAGCTTGACGAGCTGATGAAGAGGTGAGGCAGGGGGGGGGGGGGGGAGGTCAGTGGAGGGCAGACGGAAGTTCTCGCATAATTCGGGCTGGTGAGAGGGTAAACGAATTGAACGAGTGCTGAGTATTTATCATCCAGACTACCCGCATCACATTCAACAATTCACCACAAGTGAAGGAAACAAGTCAAGTGAACAAGTGGCACTGGACAAGTGAATAAGTGGCACTTGACGGTCACTTGACATCGAAGTAACATGCTTTAATTCGTAAATTACCCCTTATCTCAAGACCACATTTCCGCCCGTTCAGCTCACTTCTCGTTTTCTCCCTATTCCGTTTATATTCCAGGTCCGTCCATATTCCTGCATTTCCGCCATTCTCTCATCTCATACATACTAAACTCTCCCCGAAACCACTTACTTTATCTCCGATCTAACCATTCCATCCCTCCGGTCTAACCATTCCATCCCTTCGGTCTAACCATTCCATCCTCCAGTCTAACCATTTCATCCTCCGGTCTAACCAATCCATCACAGAGCCTGACTCTTGAATCTCCCCGGTCATCCCGTCCCTTCTATTTCTATCTTCCCACTCCTTCCCACGCAAAGCTTACGCCGTATCCCAGTCTTTCCATGTCTTTCCTACCTACCCTTGTCCCAAACCTCCTCTTACCCCTCCTTCCCTGCAATTCCTCACTCACCCGTTCCGAATTTCCAACAGCTCGAACGAACCGACACGTGTACGCGTACCGGTACTTGTGACCATTGTACTCGTAGTTGATGCGAGGAAGGTCCAGAGTACGGTACTCGGGTGGGTTTAGAGTACGTGGTACGCAGTATACCGACTGGTCCGGCCGGGGGTACGCGGTGGCTGTCTCATCCGGTAGAGAGACGAGGTTTGTCTCTGGGGAGACGTCCGACTGAGGAAAGGAGAGATATGGTGAGACTGAGAGATAAAGGGGAGACGATGACAAGAGATGTGTAGTCTGTCATATTGAAAGACATCCGACTAGGCGGGGGGTGGGGGGTGAGACAGGGATGACGGTGATAAGTTCACGAGCTGCAATTACAATTGAATCATACGCAATCACATCAGTCGTCTCCCAACAGCCAACTATATTCCGCAGTCAAACGCTACACACGAGACAGTATAGCGTTGCAAACTACGCAACCAAGCGGTAAGCTGTCAGCAGTATTAGACTAACACGACGGAGCAGTAAGCCATATTCGCCACCGCGGCCACCCTATCAGGTAATACCATATAGACTTTACCCAAGAAATTCTATATGTTCGCAGCCACCTACCTTGGGCAGAGGCGGATCCAGCTCAGAGTTTTTTTTTTGGGGGGGGGGGGGGCAAACCATAATAATTTATCGATTCTTTCCATGCATCGTCCATAGGCGTAATGTTAAAATCATGCAGTTTGGGGGGGGGGGCAAATGCCCATTTTGCCCCCCCTGGATCCGCCACTGACCTTGGGCTCCAGAGGCAGCACGAAGCGCAGCATGGGTCCATCGACGCCCGATGATTCGTTGGAACTCATGTGTTTCACTGCCGCCGCGTCCATTATCTGCAAACAACGGTAGACGTATGGGTCTTAAAGTGCTTAGTCGGTCATGAGGGAAGGCGTATGTAAGCAGAAGTATTAGCACCATTGAAATGAACGTCAACATATTCAAGGATACCAATTAAAATTCAGTGGCGGTAATCAATATTCGATAATGTCGGTAAAACTGCAGTCAATCTTTCCTCAACGAATTGACAAATCGGCAGTACGGTAAATAGGTACATTAGGCAAGTACATAAAAGTCTAATGAAAATATTTAACAAAAACACAAATGGTCCCATAAAAAAGAAAAAATGGACGATTCTTCCTCTACAAATGTAACGTAATAAGTCACGACATTTGTTTAGCACTAACTTTAAAACAAAATTTTCGCTCTGCCGGGTCGACTCACGCTGCATTTGCCCGGCAGTTGTGCACAGATATCCACGACCACATGTCCGTCCTCCTCATAAGCGTTAACGTGGTGGAACGCGTAGAAGGTGTCCGCCTTGAAGAGGGTTTGGTGTAGTTCGCCAGTGCGACGGTCCACCAGTCTGATCCACGTCTGTAAGGGAGGGAGGAGTGGGACGAAGTTGAAACGGCAAGGCATGGTCATGAGTTACCGAGTGACATCAAATGGCTCCACCAATGGCACTGAGAAGCACGATAACAAATGGGTGCCGCGGAGTTACATATTGAGAAAATGACACCGGGTGGGTCGGAGTGAGACTGGATGCTTACCAACAGGTCGACACGATAACAATGGAAACAGCCAACTGATCTGATACTTCATAGGACGACACCAATTAAACGAGTGGCATCGAATTACCTAAATAATGTCCGAAAAAAACTTCACTCCAACTGTTTAGTGTTAACAGTAGCAGAATTTATATCGCCTGCATGTAAAATTAACCAACCAACTACGTAAGCTACTAATAAGTCAAGTTCGCCCTTCAACGCAACAACCGCCTCTTCCCGAACAACTCACGCCTTCGGCTGCCTTTTCCGTGATGGCATCTGTGACCGGCCTCTTCATCAGTTTGAGCGTCACCAGCTTCTTGACCTGAATGACGAGCGGCTGCTGCACGAAGACGAAGTAGTTCTCGGTGATACCGAAGCTGTGGAAGTAGGAGGGCTCCATGGGCCAGCGGTGGGGGATGGTGCCCACCACTCGGCCCGTCTCGGCTACCGGCGAGCCTGAGAAAACGGAGGGGGGGAGGGGGTTAAGGGAGGGGCGAGCACAAATGACCGTAGTATACATAAATAGCGCTGTGTTCGTATATGAGCCGCCTCCGTGAAATCATAATTCGACTGGCACCAATTGCATCATCATAGCTGTGTATATACAATTAGCAGTCAAGTCACATATTCAATCCATCCTAGATAAGCTCATCTCAGCATTTCTGTGCTAAATATTTCCCGTTTATTGGCCGTTGGTTCTTGAATGGTGCACATTACCTCCTTAAAGCGGATAATTTTCTAAATCAGCGCATCGAGGAAGTCTTGTTACGGCATTAATTACGGAACGGTTGTAGTCGGGCGGGTGATGTCCTTTTCTCTCAGATTACCGGAGGAAATGGACAGGGCATTCTCTTTCTCATTCTCCTCCACATTCTTACCCGAGGCGGGAAACTGGATGACATTAACACTCGGTGTCCGTCCCGTGAATGAGCTGCCCACGTTATACACGGTGCCGTCCGGGTCCACGTGCGGGTGCGCTGTCGCCTGGTTCACGGCCACCACCTTACTGAGGTCCACCTGAGGGGAGTGGGAGACGTTAAACACGGGGTAATCGACGGACAACGGGAAACGGGTGCGCAGAACGCTAGTATATCCTATGGAGTGGTGTTAGGTGAAACATCAGAAAAAGGTCGTCGGATTTTCACTCTTGGCCAACGTATGAAGTCTGAGGTAATAAATGATTGCTGATTCGTGATTCGTGATCCCTGATCCATAAGTGCATACTGAATATTGGCTTTTATCGAGGCCAGACCAGGGTATATCTAATTAGAACTCGAATTAACCGTTCTGAAACTCTTTCAGCGGATGCTCCAATCTCCGTATGTTCGTAAATACCTGTTTTTCGGCGCCGAGGTCCTCCTGATTCAGCCTCCAGATCTTGCTCGTCTCGGTCATGGCGTACAGCTCGGTGCCGAAGTACCCCACGTTGACGGAGCAGTTGTCGGTGGCCGATCCCCTGCCGCGGAGATCGCGGAATGTCGACATCAGTCTGAAAGGAGAGCACGTCACACGTCCGGGTCACGTAGGTAGTGGCACAACCGAGCAGTCAAATAACGTACCAAATCACCGGGATCAACACCGGGCGTATCACTGGACGCATCAAATTGGCGTATAAGCGCCGGGAATAACTGCACTACCAACTACCAAGCCAATGAATAACCAAAAAAAGGAGGAAGACAACGTCGGCTCGGCTGATTAACTAGCTTAGTAAACAAGAGTACCTATTCAAAACATTTAACAGGTCTGAACGGAAAGTGCAAGTTATACCGGGTAGTCCGAGCCAGTCCGTAAGATCACAAGTTCCCAGACACCATGTCCTCTTAGATGACAGAAACCTTTCACGAACCAGCCCTGAACCCACACGGCACACACCCAGCCACTGTGTGTTCCCTGCCCACCGTTCCATCCGCCCGCCACCGCTCACCGTCCGAACAGGCTCCTACAGAGGTCCTGGCGGCCCAGTGTACCGAAGGTGGACACCTCTATCCTGCCAGCGGCCATGTCAGCGCGGTACTCGTCACTCTCCAGGAAACGATTCTGCAGAGAGGGGAGTCGTGGAGCGTCAGTAACGAATGAGAGAATGATACTTTATCGAGTAAATCATGTTAGCGCGGCGAAACACTCTGCCATGAGCAGCATCTCTTCTACGTCTATGTGGCGTGCAGCACAATGGATATATATATATATATATATATATATATATATATATATATATATATATATATATATATATATATATATATATATATATATATATATATATATATATATATATATATATATATATATATATGTGATAGAAATTACCACCCGCTCATGCTGAGGCAAAACCCTAAGCAAATGACGGGCACATTTTGGACACGAACAGCTCAAATCGGACAAGACGGACGACCAAATCGTCCGTTCGAGAATAACATAGATAGCTAAAATATAAAATCGCGGCAAATGACATTCAACAATACGTTAAATCTTGCACGCAAATAACTCGTCAGAAATGACCTTTCACACAGTGTGACCGGTGACACGCCCCTATCCCATTGCCACTGACCTGGTAAGTGACCTGACCGCGGGCGCCGTCGATGTTAAACTTGTGAACGCAGGCCAGACCGTCGAACAAATGGTTGAAACGGTCGGGACCGATCTCCTTGACGGCTGCACCGTTCCGGTATAGGTTCCCGTGCAACCATGATGGTAGGTGACCTGCAACGGGTCATGTGAGGTCAAACCTAGGTCACGACAGAGGTCAAGTTTAGGTCACGGCAGAGGTTACGCTTAGGTCATACGAAGTCACACGACAGAGGTTTTACTCGAGTGGCGGCGGGTCACTTGTAGGTTCAGGCGGAAGCTCCACTCAGGTCACAAGACATGAAAGAAACGATGTCATCGCACTCTGCCAGTACATCGTAATTTGACTCCGTATTGTTCTCACCGGAAACACTGACACAGAATCATTATCACATGAGACCCCGAATGGGATCCCGCATTGTTCTCAGATGAGACTCTGAATTGTTCTTACATGAGATTCGGAAGGATTCTCAAATTAGGCCCCGAATAGTTCCCACCTGTTATTTTGGCCCTGATTGGTGTCGTCACGGCCTTATCGGCGTGCCGGAGCCAAAAGGAGGCGGCACCTCCGACCGTCATGTCCTCAGTCTCTGCCATCACCGGGTACACCGGGTAAACACTCGATTACCAACCAGGCTGACACACAGAGTTCCGGACACAACTAGACACTATAGCAGGCTGACACTGACACTGAGAACGCTAACCCTTCACTGGGCAATTGTTCACTGCAAGGCCTTCCTTCAGTATGATAAGACACGCAGCAGGATCGGGCGGCCCCCGTGAGGCTCACACTCTCTCCCTCTCTCGCCGTTCAATGACATTCTCACTCCCCTCCCTTCCGCTCCAGACACCACACTGTAAACAACTTACCTCACGCGTTACGAGCCAGACACCGCCGACGACGACGCAGCCCAGCCACGCGACCCCACACAACGGCGGTGCACTTCCAGCGCAGCCGACGATAGGGGACTGGTTAGCGCTTGGTTAGGGGCCCAGCGTCATATGGCTGAAGCGATGGAACTACGCCACACGGGTTGACCTTGAGAACGCAGCGGCGCCGGCGAGACGGTTTATAATGTTGGCCTCGGGGCGGTGTCATAAACGAACGGCCGGCGTAGATTTGCATAGTTCTACCGCATTGACAATCAACATTGTGGGTACAATCGCAGGCTGAAGTAGAAAGGTTGGCATATTAACTATCACATAGGAAGAGATTGCTTACAGTACGTACACAAGGAATCACTTGCATATTGCACAGTGCAGGAGATTGCAACATGGCTAGTACTTTCAATGCTAGCTGACGGCAAGGAACGATGACAAACATTGCTCACATTTTGTCCAAGAGAAAATCCCCTTCTGACAAATTCATTCACATCCCACGAGTACAGCATTGTAGGCAGAATTATCCCTGCCTCTTACTCTAACCATATGTCCACGTCCTTTTGCGTCGTCCCATAGGCGGATCCCCTTAGACTACCCTCAGCACGACACGAAGCCATATGAATGCCTCGATGACATTATAAGGAAGTCTGGGTGACCATATCGCTCAATAGTCGATAGCTTCTCCAGACGCATCCACAGACGCTGGTTGGAAGCCTCGCATCAGCCAGACGGTCTTTTGTGACGCGGCATTTGAACAAAGCTGTCATGAAATCGACGTTACTAGGCATGCGTGGTGGTTGGGAGGCACATAAGGCAATAGGCATCGGTAATTCCCTGTTATGGCTCAACGTCACGACTACGGTATAGCGATCGCGAGTTGCAGCTGCACATGGTACCGAAGCGTGAGTTTCCTGTGTATAAAGGTGGTGGTGACTTAATTCACAAATAAACTTGGTAAACGCGAGACGCCTGAGGCAACCACTGCAGCGAACAGCTCTTGACACCACCCACCAAGCACCGTAAAATTATTCCAGAGTTTATCTTTACAAACAACTGCATTGCTATTGAACGTTGAAGCAATCTACACAGGGGTATTTACTTCAGTAAATATATTCAACAAACGTTTTTCACAAACAAGTGTGTCACATACAAAGTTCACAGGGTTGTCGCAAGTCACAACACATCAGCATCAAAAACTTCTACAAGACATCTCGGCTGACTCGTCCATTAATTAATTGCATTGTTTGTATTGCATCATTTCGGTAAGTACATACCTGCCCCACCTAAGCAGCTTTCACTTCACGAATGGTGTCCGCCCTTCGGTGTGAAAGACACCATTCATAACCCCAATATGACATCAACCAGCACACCTAGTTCTTCTTCTTATTTTTGAGCGACACCAAATGCTTCCCGAGCTGCTTTTGCACGCGCTCCTGTGAAATGTTGTCGACGAAGAGCTCGGCATCTTTCTGGAGCCTTCCAGAGAGATACGAAATCAGAGGTTCGGTAGAGGCAGTCTTAGAAAACTCGCGGCCAACGTCTGAAACGGTAGTCAGGGCAAGAGTCAACACGCGTTTTTGATTGGGTAAGTCGGTAACGAAGGAGAGAATATTGATGACACTGACAGATGAACGATGTATTTGAACTACTTCGATGTAATTGAACCGATGTAAGCAACTATTTCAAAATGTCCCTCCTCTGCTTGTGACTTGAAAGTTGAAATAATAAAAAACGAGTTACTTGAAGCATAAGATCCAATTTAGGCCCTTTCGGTCTGTCACGGCCATTTCAGAGCCGGAAGGATGATAGGAATTAGGGGGAGACATTGGTCTGGGCAGACACCCTAGAGAGTCGCCGGGGCTGAGCCCGTCAGAATGGACAGACCGACCAGCCCCCCAAGCACTCTCTACACCCGGCTACGGGGTGCGCTCCCTCAGGAGCTGCGGTGCTGCTCCAAGGGAGCAGCCCGCATGAGATAAAGGTGCCTGTCCACTGTGCAGCCCGGATTGAGGGTTGCGGCGTGGAGAGGGATTTGGATGTCCCGAGGACAGAAATGACGGAACGGATGCATAGGCGGCGGAACGGGGGGGGGGGGCACCGGGGCACCGTGCCCCCTTGAATTCTGCAAGGGGGAACCAATAGCAAGGTGCCCCCCTTAAATTTGATGTATTAATACCAGGGGCGGATTAGGGAAAACTCCAAGGGCAGGGTCATGAATCGAAGCGGTGCCCCTACCTATATCCAAAATTAAAACCTCAACGGATTTCGGCCACTTAATTTTGGTGGTGCCCTATTTTCAGTTTTTTTCTTTATTTTTGGTTAGTCATGTGATGACTGGTGCCCCTGCTAGGCCGCTGGTGCCCCTGGAAAGACTGTGGTGCCTACCTACCCTGCCCCTGACAAGCCTACGGTGGGCCCTGACATGACTTAGGTGCCCATGGGCCCTGACAGGCCCGTGGTGCCCCTGACAGGCCTGTGGTGTCCCTGGGCCTTGGCAGGTCTGTGGTGCCCCTGGCGAGTCTGTGGTGCCCCTGGCGAGTCTGTGGTGCCCCTGGCGAGTCTGTGGTGCCCCTGTTTGAACGAAGGTGCCCTTGACAGGTTTGTGGTGCCCCTGACAATCTTAAAGTGCCAACGACAGGCTTGTGGTGCCCTTGACAGGCCCATGGTGCCCTTGCGAGGCCGGTGATTCCCCTGCGAAGCCGATAGTGCCCCTGGCAGGCCTCTGGTGCCCCTGGCAGGTCTGTGGTGCCCCTGGAAAACCTGTAGTGCTTTTGCTAGGCCGGTGGTGCTCCTGACAGGCCTGTGGTGCCACTGACAGGCCCGTGGTGCCCCTGCTAGGCCTGTGGTACCCCTGGCGGGCCTGTGGTGCCCCTGTCGGCTGTCAGGCCTGTGGTGCTCCTGGCAGGCATGTGGTGACCCCAGGCCCTAAGTCATGACCCATGTGACCTCCCCCCTGGGATTCGCCACTGATAAGTACTGCGATGGCTTCTTGGGAATTTGATACATGTAGAATAAATGGAATTTATCAAACGACAATAAGGAAGAGAGGTACTTGAGGATCAGCTTAAAGTTAACCACACATACGGGAGTGAACTGCCATTTTCGTTTAGTAAAAAATAAAAAAATAAAAAAATCATCGTATAAGTGGCCTAAATCCGATGAGAAAACAGGATTTGGGGGTACCCTAGGTTTGGCTCCTTGAGCTGGTGCCCCCCCCCCCCTTGTCTCAAATCGTTCCGCCGCCTATGAACGGATGCAGAAATGGGCAGCACCTTTGGTGATAACGTTCGGCAAAACGCCTCTTTGCAAACTGTTCGACACATCCAGCCCCGTTGTAACAGTTTATCCCCGTTCCGTTTTATACATCAATGTCCCAAGTTATAACCTGAGACCGGGGAAGAGTGCACCAAACCGGGGTCCCGAGCTACTGACAGGGTTCCTGTGTCATATTACCGCGGTACCGAATCGCTGATTATGGTCCCAACTCCCAATTCACACACAATGCTCCCCTCCCATCCAGGGCCACCTACCGGGGACTTTGAGAAAGTGCTCGAGTTTCTGCAGCGCCCTCTGTCTGAGCTCCTCTGGCGAGCTAGCCAGCTCATCCACCAGTCCGATCCGCAGCGCCTCCTGGGCGGGGAACAGGATACCCATCTGTAGTCCCAGGTCTGTGTGCCGCCGGCCCACCACGTCGCAGAAGTTGATCCGCATCCTGACAGAGGGGATGATGTCAGACAGAAAAGGGAGCTGACGGGGAGCGGGATTACGTGAAAATAGGAAATTGGCGCAGAATGAGCTATTGAAGCTTCAGGTCAAAAGACGTACCGTGCGCAAGGGGGATACGTATTACGTAATCATGATCAGTCAGGCGTAGGACTACGAATACGTTAGTTCAAAAGCACAACAGAGTACGGAACAAGAGAGTACACAACACATCAGGCTTTTGAGTAAACAAAAATATAATAAAAACGAACGCAATGATCAATTAACGTAACCTGACACTAAGTGTGCCATGCAGTGCAAGCCTCCGATCCATGATGAGCTTATAGTCTGAGAAATGCTATTGTACCAGACATTTTCACCGTGATCGTTCGGCCGTCCTTCGTTCACTCTTACCAGTCGGGTACGGGCAGGCCGACCAGGCTCTCGCTTAGTCCGATCACCGCCTTGGGGTGGTCAAGCATCAGTCTGTAGTCGCAGGAGGTCGACAGAAGACAACCGCCGGCCGGCGCGGCGCCCTGACAAAGAGAGATAAGGTACAGTGACCAAGCGGCATGTGGCACCGCAATTTGATATGCCGTGATCGTGAACTACTCAACACGAAGTCCTCAAACTATGCAAAGCAGCTTCAAAATAAGCAAAACATCACTAATCAAATGATTGTCATTCGTCTGTGAAATTGTAGAACAAACACTTGCACAGCATACGGACACACACACACACGCTTATTTCCCGCTCGATGACGACGCTCACCGTGATACAGGCGATTGAGATGAGACGAGTGCCGTACAACGTGAGAAACATGTTCTGCACGCGTGCCCAGTAATTCAACAGGTCCTGCCGCTCTTGGTTGTGCATTTCCAGCAGGTTCAGGCCAGCAGAGAAGATCCCTGGGATCGCCTGGAGAAAGGAATTACGGTGATCATATGGTGCTCAGGGGAAAGTTTGAATATTTGAAGTTGACTTAAATCGATGTAGATTCCCAGTGGCACAGCAGAGGAGGGTGTACTGACTACTGATGTCATATAGCAGGATAAGAATTTAACCCTTACAGAGTGGCTATATGACTGCAGCAGCAGACCATGATGGCATCGCCCAAATCTTTATTGCCATCCTTATAGACTACGCAGCTCTTTATCACTGTAAATGCCACCCAACTCTGAACATTGGTGACTGCCAATGAACAGCCCAGCAACACCCAATGACACATAACTAACAACACTGACAAACCCCAACCCACCGAACTGAGGAGGAAGGCGCGACATCCGTCTTTCTCCAGGGTTTTCACACCATCAGCCAGGCCTGTCAGCAGCTCAGAGTGAAGGCTGTTCACTGGTGGATTCTGCAGGCAGATCTCTCCAATGCCTGAAATAAAGGAACAAGCACAAATAAGCTGCAGCCAGGGTCAGACATTTTGTGAGTTAAACTACTTCTCAATGCTCATTTTAGGTCATCTAATGTTTGAAAAGTTCATCTGCATCTATGCTTCACTTTGAACCACTTATCTAAACAAATGCACTAACTCTTGAAATTGACATGCTACTACACCTAGCTACCATTAATTTGAATTGAGAATCATTACTGTTGGGTCAGAGTCATCATGACTTAGGACCAGAAAACACACCTTTCTGTTCATCAATCACTTCAACCTTCAGTGCTGACTGGGAAGCAAATCTGGATGAGTTTCTCATCACAAGTATTGCTGGCCTGGAGGCCTGTCTTAGTGCTGACAACATTGTGTGAGAGTGAAAATCTTCCCTTGCTGGTCAAAATCCTGGAAACAGACATCATTAAGCTCTCGTGATAAATATCACTGATGAATATCAGTGTGACATGCAGGGATAACGATAAGTAGCATCATTGAATTGCAAATGAAAATGGATTCATAGGTTTCCGTTGTAAAAGCACACTGCTGAGTTCTAACCTAACCTACTGTTACCAGGTCAAGGAAGTGCTTCAGTTTCAAGTTTACATGAAAAAGTAATCAAACTTCAAAAATTTGTTCACATCTTTTCATGGAACTGAAAAATGGGTGCATCGAGGATTGGAATGTTTGGCCAGAAACACTCCCTCTCTCTAGTCTCTAGTGACTCTAGCCGGAGTCCTATTTTCAACCATTTGATAAAAAGATACCAGGCCATATAGGTATGAAATGATGCCATAATAACGCATGATGATATTCCATGCCAACCAAGCCAGCAATTAGCAACAAACAATGAATAAAATAACAAAATGTGCAATGTTTTTTTTTTTGGACCACAGCTCCTACTGCAGTTTGTAGCAGATGCGCGAAAAACGAAACAAAGCCAGCTACCAAATCAGTGGCCATATCCCTTGAGGTCATGAAGGTTTACCTCCGTTTCGAGACTTCTTCGTTTGTTTCCTTCCACTAGGAACAATTTCAGCCTAATAGCAACACAAATCGCCGTCAATATAGATGGGTTTATTTCACGATAATCAGATAAGACGTCAATGTGGCAACTGGCAATATGGTAGGATGTTTCGTCGACGCATCGTTCTTGTTGTAGGTACCACGGTGACTATAAATAATCAACTTCTTATTTTGTCTACGCCACGGCTCACATCCGTGCCGCATCTTTACGCGACAATTTTCAAAAAAAAAAAAAAAAAACGTTAGCCGTAAAACGTACTGGGGTAGGTTCCGACTTGTAACCCATGAAATTATTCGGGTGCAGGCGACTGAAACTACAGCATTACGTTTCTCACTTTTAAATAGTTTCATAGTCGCTGTCGTACGCGGCGGCGCGAAAACGAGATACTTCCGCACGAACGCGGTCACTAAGATCAGCGCGGTTTACACCTAGCGTGTTTCTCCATGTGTCATACCCTGGCAAAGTGTCCAGCGCCGGCATTCTGAATAGTTCACGGAAAGCTGCCATATCCAAAATAGAAGCCTCACAGCATGCATTACCGTCATCCGAGCGCTGACGCAAGCTCCAAATAGGAACATCCCCGATTGGAAAAAATTTACGCTGGATCACCGACAAACAGGACACCTATGTGATCCATGTTAACACCTGCCTGACCGAGACGCTGCATTACCCAACGTATCATCCGACGCTGAATCATTGAAAACTCGTCAAAAATTATCAAACCTAGCTCAGTACTGAGGCTATCACAAAGCTGCGAAGAGCGACGGCTATCCTCGGCCAGCGGCTCGTCCCCCGTTTGGCCCACGCTGATGGCGTATAAACGATGGATGGTAGTGGCGCCGTGCGCCATGTGAAAAGACGCACATCCTGTCGGCGCAGACAATTTAACTACATCAGTCCACTTAGCAAAATCATCACCTAACGTATCCAGTCCTTGAATCGTCACTAGCGAAACTGACACGTAATTTCGCGTATCACGCGTCAGATGCCCACAGTGAAAGCCTAAACAACATTATCGCTGCAATCATCATTGTATCCAGGACAGCCGCATAGCGGCCACTAATGCATGTCTTAGACAGCGGCGACATTCCGCAAATATATGGTGACACTGGCAGCAAACGCGATAACAGAGCTATGACTCAGTTACAAATTACAACCGATAAAAAGCCACACTGTTGTCTGTTCCTGAGGAACTATCATATCGTCTGATTATAGCTGACACCAGTGACAGAACCTTCTGCCATGTCACCAAATATGTGGCAACTGGCAGCGGTAGCACAGACATCTGACAATAATACCTACAACGTTCATAGTCCCCTACCTCTGCCCCGTACCACCACCATCAACTCGCAGCTGAACGCATGCTCTCAAGGAACTGCAGATAGACGGGCTTCTCCTTCCCCGAGGCCGGGATGTGGTGTCCGCCCGCGTGTCGGAGTACGGTGGCATTGGAGTATAGCTGTACGAGCTCCTCACTCATTTCTGCAGGGGTAGAGCAGGGGGCTCAGAACCCAGCCATGTATGAGCAATGAGCATAAACGGCAAACGCTACGTAAGTTCTGGGAGCACATCTCTACGAATTTATTGAACTTATTGAGGGTATCTTGAGTCCTTGACACAATAGTAATTAAATAGCCACCTGTCACTTCTTTGAAATGATTGACTCATGAAAAACGGAATCTACAATCATGCCCTGACATTTTATCGGCCATATCCCCCCCCCCCTCGATTATTTTAACCAACCCACGATATTTTCCGGCCCATCCGTCGATATTCCACCGGCCACCTCACCTCTGGGTATGACCTGATCGTTGTCGCCATACACGTGCAATGTCGGCAGCTCTATCCTCTCTTCGTAGAGTTTCTGATGCGGCGCCGACCGCGATCGAAAGCCAGCTACCAGGATCGCGAACCGGAAACTCCACTCCAGTTCTGGGTGACGGGAAGGCAAATCAAATGTGAGCAAAAGTCAAGGCTGCTAATGTAATAAGAAAATCACGGATGTCATGCAATGTAAAATATTAAGATCGTACCTGTATCTCAACGATAGCGCGTCCTCTAAATATAACACGGAGATTGATCTATATAGAAACATCTCTTTAAATTACCTGTCTAGTTAAATGTGCTTGTTTTAGTTGCCATAGCCACATCAGAGTAGACCATGTCATGCTTATAATTGCTCCTGTCCCTCTCCCTGACCCTCCTCCCTCCCTCTCCCTGACCCTCCTCTCTCTCTCTCCCCTCACCCTGTCGCTGCTGAAGGGCGCAGAGCAGACCGACCAGCGCCGCGCCCTGGCTGAATCCCAGCACACCGTCAAACGGCCCCTCCCGTTCCGCCACCTCGCGCAGAATGGCCAGACTCTCCTCAAATCCGGCACACAGCTCGGACTTCTGTGAGGCGGCGAACGACTGGTCGGCTGAGGAGAACCACCAGCCACGCTCGTCCGCGTCAGCTGCCGGAGTCAGTATTCAGGGACAGGTGGGTTGGAGGGTCTAGGAAAATTACTGGACTCAAATGATGAAAGCTTTATCATACAGGGTGTCCGGAAAGTCCTGGCGCTTCTTTTGGACGCCGTGTAACGCGCGCTGTGATTATTGGACATTCAGCCAATCATCACAGACATGACCCCTCGTTGATTGCTCAGCCAGGGGTCGTGTAAATATGACCTTGAAATCGTTTTCAGTGATGGGTAGATGGGCGAAGATGCGCCTTGTCGCTGAATGCCTGCGCGCGGCGGCCGGGTGCGACTTGAACGAGGCGCGAGTTGCAGCGCGATGCGGCGTTTTTCGATGAATGGTTTAGCAGGTAAAGGTTTATTTCGACTCGGGAATTCCTTAAAAAATATCCTCAGACCGTTTCGAACGCGATATGGGAACGGAGCAGCATTTCAACGCGGCAATCGAAGAAAGTGCGGGGGTCTGATGGACAAAAATGTCCCATCATCTTCGTCAATGTCGAATAAATGAATAACAGACTGGCCCACGAGGGGTTCCTGGACAGCCACATCAACCCGTGGGTCAAGACGACATGCCCTAAGGGTCACTTCGCATTTCAACAGCACAGAGCACCCTCCAACAACGCCGCCGCCATTCAAGCTAAACTGACAGAGGAGCTTGCCGGGCCAGATCACCGTGGCGAAATGAGATTAGGCCGCCTTATTCTCCTAACCTGACCCGCTCGACTAAGGCGTGCTACGCGTTTTGTAGAACAGGATCTAGGCCATTTCTCACCCCAACCTGGAGTCGCTGAAGACTCGCATCATGACAGCATGGGAGGACCTGGAAATGCCCCGCATCGTCAAAACCCGCAGACGCTTCCTCCCCTACGTCGAGGCCGTCGTCGGCGCCGACGGTGGTTACATTGAATGAGCACGTAGCGGAAGCATGTGGCTTGGTGTCCCTGGTCATTGTTTTGATCCATTGATTAGTATCTATGAACCAATGGCATTTGTTTTAGAAAATGTTGAAAAGCGCCAGAACTATCCGGACACCCTGTACAATCAAAAGACTATCCATTATTTTACAAACAACTTAAGTCCAGCAAGAAAGTATTTAGGCAAACTTCCTATTATTGCCACTGACTGTGAGATTACAAATGGTGTCTAAAAACTTGTGAAGCCTTCTGGCCTTGCCCTAACCTAACCAGGCTAGTTACTGTTATGCTTTGCACATTGCCTGTCATGGGACCCACCTGGTGTGGAGCCATCTGCACGAGGAGGCACAACCAGTGGCGCAGAGACAAACACTGGCTCCAGGTGACGCTTGGTCAACTTGCGGAAGGCACCAGACTTCTCCCGACTGGTGGTGGCATTCTGGCGGTACCCATGGATCATCAGCACCTGCAGAGGGAGAGGTGACGTCAGAGGTGTAAGGCAAGAGAGAAAATCATCTGTGCAGAAGTTGAGCAGAAATAATGTGAGAAAAACTAATATCAATGATATTCTAATGATAGTCATGTCATCAGATGGAGCTTCTAAGCTGTTATGCAATTTCAAGTAAGAAGCAGCAGCCAAAACAACCGATGACACAACAAACGACGATGACATGAATTTGAATTGAAATCAAAATGGAAAAATGAAGCTGACCTTGAGTGGTTTCCCACATGACATGATTTATATCAATATCAATATTCTAATTCACAGGTGGAGTAGTGGACGTTACAAATGAAGTGGTGGTGAAGTGGCACGGGCTTATACAGCCTCCGTGTCACGATTTATGATATATTAATATGATAAAAACTACATTAACGCTCCTAAACCCTTCTGCTATATGTCAAGTTTAGGTCCTAACTACACTTCTCATGATTGATTACAATTTACGACTAGTTGTGTTGCCGGTTGTTTTGTTTTGACCGTTTTGACCACGCCACACATGACTTTTCTGCGCAATTTATGTATTCTTGAATTATGGGACGCTGCTAGCAATTGATATACTCATATGCTCACCCGACTTTGGTATTTAAATTTCCAATCAAAAGAAAGCGTAAAAACGGTCAAAGATAGTTCATTTGATCGATTGTTGCATATATTTAAAAATTAAAATTTCCAGACAATGGGATATCAGTTCAACGAAGAAGGTGGCTGGCGACACCTCAACGGTGATTTTGTTGTGATGGACTTCAACCTGTGCGGCCAGCTTTTCCCCGCCAACCACGAAAGGTGGAAGAAAATGAAGGTAGGAAGGATTAAAGAACATGTACATCGATGCCTGCAACAGTGCAGGATGTTTGTCGGATCAAAATAATACGCTTATGTGATAAAAATGCGATGGGATTTTTTTAACTTTGACATTGCAGCTTAAATGACGCGAATAAGACATTGATGGCGTAGATCGTAAATCAGAAGATGTTCACTCGCTTCGACTTCACCTCTTGTTGCCTGGCAACGTTTAGCTTTATCTGAATCTTCAACAGTTTAAGCCAATAACATCAAGCTTTAGTTCTAGTTGCCTAGTAACATGGACCACTTGTTCTATTTAGATTCAAGTTTGAACAGTATATTTGCCCAGGCTGGAAATAGGCCCCAAACCACCCCAAACAATCCCATTGATCCCCCAAAACACAGATCAAGATGTGGGTTTACGAAGTTTAGCTTTGAATTGCGTGATCTGAATTGATTTTATTGTTATTTTAAAACCATTTGAAATTGGTTTAATCGTTTTCTTGTGTCTTCGGCGCATTATTTAGTTCTTGGAGCATCATTTAAGTGAATTCCATTCATTTTGGTTTTTGATTCAAGTGAATTCCATTCGTTTTGGTTTTTGACAGCTGTGAGCCTGAGCTGACACCTCCATAAAATTGGATGCTGTCTCAATGAATCGTACCTTTTGTTTTTCAGGTAAGATGAAATTGCCATGCCATATTTTGTATGAATTTCTGCACCATAATGATCACAAGATAGTCTAAGTCTAGCTCATAGTGACATATGTCAAAGAATCAGCATTATGATCGCTGGTTAAGTTACCCAGTTACCTACCTAATTGACATGTTAGGTATTTTTGGTCAAGCACAGGAGTAACCAAGCATTTCAATTTGAGCTTCTTAGCACTCCACCTGTCCACGATTCACTGACTTAGATAAGCCCGATAAGCCTGAGTGAGATCAGTGTAGCTTGGTAGCAGTGGGACCAATGATGCCTACTCTAAGTGATAATAATAATTGGTTATATTGTGCACCATAAGTCAGATGATGCCTCAGCAGGATTGCAGCACGCAGATCCAGGTGGGAATTTAGAGCAAATGCCCCCCCCCTCCCTGACCCCTTCCCCACAACAGTGCCTGAACTATTGATACAAATTCGAGTTTTTTTTTTAGAATAGAACAAAGACTGAGCAGTGAGCAACTGTGAAACTATTTTTCTCTCTATAAGTTTGTTACGTTCCTTATTTCTATCATTGCTACGGTTGGGATTACTGTTGGTAGCGTGGCGTGCCGAAGTTAACCGTGACGTTTAAAAGGTAGCGTTTGTTTGAGCTTCCGAGCCGTTCTATGTTACGTTTGCCGAATTCGGTGCCGTTCAGTTCAGTTCGCCGTTCATTCTCTCCCCCACCATTTGTCCCACAACAGACTGTGTAAATTTTCAAGGTAATTATTTACATGCGCACACATTATTACACTGGTCACGGCTATATACAAGGCCCCAATAAGGGCCGCGCCCTTTTACTTACATGATATTGGGTAGGAGGTATGGACGCACACGTCGCGCACTGGGCAGTCCAACGTAGCTCCCGAGTGGAGAGCGAAGCGAGAGAGATCACTGCGGGACTCAGCTTATATACCGCGCCTCCGGCGGTTGGCATTTGCCTCGGGCGCGGCACGCAAGGCTAGTCCCGCAGGACAGAGCGCACAGAACATGGCAGGGCAGAACAGGACAGAGCAGAACAGTGCAGAGCAGAACAGTGCAGAGCAGAACGAGGAAGTAGATGGTGCCGCCGACTCGACCTAGTAACGGTCCGTCCGGCCGCCGGCCTGCCCTGATTGCTGCCCAGAGGGGTTGTTGTTGTTCCCCTCCAAGTGACAGGCGGCGCCGAACGGTGGGAGTCGGCCGGCCAGGTGATCGTAACAGGTAATGAAGAAGATGAGCTCGCAGGGGCGGTGCCAGGTGGCCCGGCTGGGTCCACCCGCGCCGGCGGAGGCACCTGGGTCTCATGGACTCTCCGCTGGTCGCGCTGCTGCGCCGCTCCGTGGTTTCGCCGCGCCGCGTCCTCCCCTGCGGATGTTTGCGCGGCCCAGCGCGGCCGCTGCCGCATTCCGCCCCCGGCCTCCGGCAATGCGGGGCGGAAGGGATGGTTCTACGCCCATCATCTGGTGGGGTGACGATGCGGTCGCGTAGCGGTTCGCCGGGTCCGGCGGCAGCCACGGCCTGGCCGCGTTGGAGGGGAAAAGTTTCCCACATCCCTCCGATGAATATAGATGACAGAGCGATTCCGAACTCCGGGTAGATCTGTGGGTCATAGAGCACCTGTCAAATCCTGGACATGTTGATATTTCAACTGAATTGGGAGATCCAAAAGCTCAGTATAGCTCTGCCCCGGTACTGCTTCCGCTAGATCCTCAACTATGGTTTAATATTTCTTACTGCGTTACTGCGTTGCTGTCGCCTTGGTACTGCATGACATGCGGTACGTCCTCGTCATTTACAGAATAAATGGCCATTTGGAACCAATGTGGACTAGGATTTAAACTTGGTCGTGAGAGGAGCGGAATGGCGTCAAAGAGTCGTGCCTCAGTAATAACTGGTTATGACTTTGCTTAAATTTATTCTTTTCTTGTGCCTTTGAATGTGAGAGTAGCGCTCTCAGCTCTGTCGTATATTCGCATCCTTATCCCAAACTCGGACAACTGAACACAAAGTATCGGATTCTTGCCTTGTCACGTTAACAACGTTTCACTGGATTCTAGTCCTTAAGCATTGTACAAACTTATATGTATATTAATGTAATTTTTTTGGGCGACTCCGTGACGTCCCATCACTGATGCCCTTTTTAGTGACAGCCGAGCATCTCTGTCCCGAGCGTAATTGACCGTCCCATTTGTTGGACTACACAAGACTGCCGGTGTGCAGGTGCCAGTACCATTGTGCTTGGACAGTTTGCCATGACTTTGTGACCCTTTTAGCCCGCTAATGGTGACCTTCCAGACAGTGATAGCTCACTCTGACGCGAACTCCTCCTATCTGCAATGGAGTCGACCCATGTTGAAGACGGAGACCACCGCTGTGGACGCCGATGGGTTTCACTGCTGTAGGGTCCCAAGAAGCGAGCAGCAGGTGTGCACTTTGTGCTGCCTGGGCTGTCTTTGCAACCTTTTGGCGCTTGGCTATCTGCCACTGCAAGTAGGTACTGCAACTAGAGCCGACGCTCCATACACCGGACAACTGTGAGTCATGATATCGCGGGAGGCTGAGTTCGCTCAGAACATCGTTGCCCAATTCTCGTCATTTGTAACGGCCAGGGATGGACATTGCCGCAGAATTGGTCTAGTTGTTCAAATATGCTTGTTTCGATAGAGCTGTACTTTTATGACCGTTACCTGGCGTTCTAGTTAGTCTCGCAGTTCAGCGTTCGGATGCAATTATTGGCCTTCTGGCAGCGCTCACTCTTATTCATGGCACTCCATTTAGACTGACTGAAAAAAGACATTGACTTCGCCGGAAGACATAGGTATGCAGACGGTATTTGGTAAAATAAATGTGCTGTACCTTGGACAAGGTTAGGAACAAGTAGGCCACCGCGTCCTTTACATTCATTAACAACATCATAGTCCTCTAGGCAAAATGATTCAACACATTTAATCACATTTCTGTTACGGTAACTTTAGCAGCTAATGCACTGTACCCTTGCATCTGACCACTTGATTGGCCGATGTTGCAACGCTTGCATGTTTGGCAGTAAGCAATATTAAACCATCAATAACGTTTTAGACACTTGCGACTTGCGAGCCCTACAGTCTGTTACCTACCTGCGTACTTGTTTCTCCGCTAACGATAGCCGTGCTAAAGGCACTGAAATCAATATCCACTGGAATGTCTGTTCGCCTTATAAACACATTTATACACTTGAAGCTATGTACCATCATACTGGGGCGTAAACTGATTGCTAAGCTATCCTTACTTTACTCCCAACTCAGTTTCCTCAGGGCAAGGCCATAAAGGTCCTCAGGGACTATAACGGTCAGGGGTCTCCTATCCGCTGAGACCTCGCGGGCCCTGGGTCGGCCGTGCCGCCGCCTCCTCTCTTGGGGGACCTGTGGAGTCAGTTCGGTCACTACCACCTGTGACTCTGCGTCCGAGGAGGACGAATAGTCCTCCCGGAGCTGCGGCTCCTCCACCGCCTCCAGCCCGTTCTCATTCCGCTGCTGGCGTCTCCAGCAGCGGTCTCGCATCCTGACCAACGCGTGGTCCGGTAATGCTCTGGAAGAAACTGTCAATCTATGTTTTCCCATGGTCAGCGTTTCCCGTTCGCAGTTTCCGGGTTTCCGGTTCGGTCATTGTGCTGAAAGCCCTAAATAAGAAACGAGTAGCGTTATGGACACACGGCCTCTACCCCCGAACTAACCCATCTCTAGTCGGGTATTGACTCACAAAGGACGATTGTTTATGCCCACTTCGCTCTGATGGGCTGCAGTCCCAATCAGGCGTGGAGCAGCGCTTCACCCCACACAACGTTTGGCCCGAAGCCGCGCTTGGCCTACCGCTCAGTTGATGGGCTTTTGAGGCGTGTACACTTTGCAATATGAGACGGCAGCCGGTCCCTCATAAACAATCGTCCCGGGTCACTGGTAGGGCAATCGCGACTTCGATAAGTGCGAATTCCATCGCTCACCTCAAAACTCGTTGCTTTCAGCACAATGCACGAATGGACCCGAGAAACCCAAGAGAAACCTCAGTGATGACGCGGAAAGCACCTGGGCATACACTGTCCTCAGAGGCACCCCTCAGCTCCACACTCAATTTGGCCACGCCCATCCTCCGTCCCCACACCAATCAGACAGAGCAGAGGGCAGGGCCTAATTGCCGCGGGACCGCCGCGAGCCGGCGCTGGCACCCCGCGGTGACTGACCGCGAGGGCCGAGCCGCCCGCCTGGCCCACTGGCCGGGACAGCTGGGGGAGATGAACCACTGCGAACATGAACGGCCCGATACCTACATACATGACTTACATTTAAAGGGAAAACAAAATCACAATCTAAGAAATATATTGCAAAAAAAAAACGTTGGGTTCGCCGCCCTGTTTGGAGCGGAACCGACAATAAATTAATTAGCTCGCCTTAGGCGTGCTTAAAGGGACCCTCCCACCTTAACATTAGTTTTGAGTTGAGATAGCCAAGTTTGCGGCCAGGCTCAGAAACCACCATTTATCCTGGTCGCAACCCCCGCAGCTTTATGGTGTTCAAGAAATTTCTTCCCTTTACTTGCAGGGTGGGACCAGCGTGGTCCCTATCTCTTAACCATTACGGGAATCTGATGACGTCATCAGGCTTTCGAACGTCCGTTAAATGTTTGACTAAAACGTTTTGTAGCACGCGGTGGTATATGCTGCTTTGCGCGCAACAAATGCCGCACTTTCAAATAAAGTCGCTAGGAACAGCGGAGATCCCAAAAAGTAAACAAAAGTAAAAGTCTAATATCTTGAAAACCGGTGAATATTTTTCGATGAAATTTGGTAGATATTCTTTTTTGCTCTTTCTGAACCGAGCGACATCACTTTCATGCCAATTCATTAACTTTTTTGAAGGTGGGAGGGTCCCTTTAAATAAAACAAGTCAGTTTTAAATCCCACCGCTGCCACCACTGTGAAACTATTTTTTCTCTCTATAAGTTTGTTACGTTCCTTATTTCTATCATTGCTACGGTTGGGATTACTGTTGGTAGCGTGGCGTGCCGAAGTTAACCGTGACGTTTAAAAGGTAGCGTTTGTTTGAGCTTCCGAGCCGTTCTATGTTACGTTTGCCGAATTCGGTGCCGTTCAGTTCAGTTCGCCGTTCATTCTCTCCCCCACCATTTGTCCCACAACAGACTGTGTAAATTTTCAAGGTAATTATTTACATGCGCACACATTATTACACTGGTCACGGCTATATACAAGGCCCCAATAAGGGCCGCGCCCTTTTACTTACATGATATTGGGTAGGAGGTATGGACGCACACGTCGCGCACTGGGCAGTCCAACGTAGCTCCCGAGTGGAGAGCGAAGCGAGAGAGATCACTGCGGGACTCAGCTTATATACCGCGCCTCCGGCGGTTGGCATTTGCCTCGGGCGCGGCACGCAAGGCTAGTCCCGCAGGACAGAGCGCACAGAACATGTATTGTATTGTATTGTATTGTATTTACGATCATGGGCGATCCACACATGGCGTGGCGATTAACATGGCAGGGCAGAACAGGACAGAGCAGAACAGTGCAGAGCAGAACAGTGCAGAGCAGAACGAGGAAGTAGATGGTGCCGCCGACTCGACCTAGTAACGGTCCGTCCGGCCGCCGGCCTGCCCTGATTGCTGCCCAGAGGGGTTGTTGTTGTTCCCCTCCAAGTGACAGGCGGCGCCGAACGGTGGGAGTCGGCCGGCCAGGTGATCGTAACAGGTAATGAAGAAGATGAGCTCGCAGGGGCGGTGCCAGGTGGCCCGGCTGGGTCCACCCGCGCCGGCGGAGGCACCTGGGTCTCATGGACTCTCCGCTGGTCGCGCTGCTGCGCCGCTCCGTGGTTTCGCCGCGCCGCGTCCTCCCCTGCGGATGTTTGCGCGGCCCAGCGCGGCCGCTGCCGCATTCCGCCCCCGGCCTCCGGCAATGCGGGGCGGAAGGGATGGTTCTACGCCCATCATCTGGTGGGGTGACGATGCGGTCGCGTAGCGGTTCGCCGGGTCCGGCGGCAGCCACGGCCTGGCCGCGTTGGAGGGGAAAAGTTTCCCACACAACCTTTATGAAAATAATTTTTTGATTTGCATAGCAGTGCACTAGGAATAAAATTCCAATAAGTTTTTGCAATTAGGAGAATTTTGGGGGGTATGTGGCTGTGCGCGGTGGGCCCCCTGCTGGGTGCAGCATCCAAGACTGCCTATCTGGATCCGCCAGGGCATTGCAGTGGCTGAAAGTTTCATTGCTACAAACAGTGCCCTAAATACTTAAAACCTTCTTACTTTAGACAGTAAATTGTCTGAAAATCAAGATGTGCAGAACAGAATGTAGGTAGGGGACCGTACCTACATGCAACATAGGCTCAAAATGTGCATCAAAATGGAAAGTATAGGTTGAGAAGGGATGCGGAGCCGGAGCCGGAGCCGGCATATTTTGCCCGAAGCCGGAGCCAGAGCCGGAGCCGGAGCCGGAGCCGTCAAAAAAGGGGGCGACTCCGGCTCCTTTTCTTAAGAAGAACCAATTATTTACCTAGTTCGGTTTGACAGTACAAGCCGTAAAACAATGTGGTATTCAAAATAGCCTTGTTAATCAAATACAGAAGCAACGTGTACCAATCCCATCGCCTTTTTCTTCCACCCGTATTTAATTGATCGCATAGGGGATGTACTGAGTAGAAGCCGGAGCCGGAGCCGCCGGAGCCGGACCATTTTACTCGGAGCCATTTTAGCCGGAGCCGGAGCAGCCATGACATTTCACCCGGAGCTGGAGCCGGAGCCGATTTTATTTCTCCGGAGCCGGAGCCGGAGCCGTAGCCGTCTGAAATTTCCACGGCTCCGCATCCCTGGTTGAGACTGTATTTTTCTTACACTTATTGACTTTTAAGCTTCATTTTTGCATATGTTCTAATTTTCTACTCTCTCCCCTTTCCTCCGTACCCCACCCCCACGCCGGCGCACTGACAGACCGCGTCACTGCACCGGAGCTGCGCCCCACAGACCCTCCTCTCCCTCCGCAGTCCGCCCCCCCCCCCGCCCCCCCGTGTGATTCACCACGCAGCGGACAGCTGGCGTGACGTCACTGTGGCGCAGTGACCCGTTCCGCCCCCTCCCAATCCCGCTCGGTCCCGTGCGCCAATTGTCAGCTCTGGGCTGCTGGTTTGTGTCCTGTGAGCCCTCGCTCTGCAATACTGGGTGGTGGTTGGTCCAGTGGTGTCGCCAGTCTCTTTGCGGAGTAGATACCCTGCTGAGTTATATACCTATCCATTCAAAGTGCACTAGAGGTGCAAGTGTCCTTCAAAAGTTGGTTACCAGCATTACAGAGTGGAGCAGCTTTTGTTACCGCTGTTTACCGTTCACCTACTGCAGTTCAGGACCAGACACGATAAGGGTATGTCGCCGACAATATATGGCCTGCTTTTGGAACTGAATGATAAGAGGCGGGATGATGTCGGGATGGACGCATGTAACTTGTTTAGTTTCATGATTTTTTATGTGTAGTTTGCCCCTTACAGGTAGGAATCAGCATAAAATCTAACCGTTTCTTTTTTATACAAATTACCTGTCGATATTATGGACGGAAATTTTTGCCGGAGCCGGCATGGATGGCGAGTACGACAGCCATTGACTGCTGATTCCAGCAACCAGTTTGTATGGCGGATGCGACCGATCTGTGCGGATTTGAGTGCTACCGGCCCGACGGCTTTTCACAGCGGGTCGCGTATGTTGGGCTCGCAACCATGATGCTCAGAAGAGGAGAACGGGTTTGACGGAGCTGTGTCGGCTGGCGTGGTGGGCTGGGCTGGGTCTGGACTTGGAGAGGCGAGTAGTGTGTCGGCCGGCTGAGTGAGGAACTGAGTGTGTGTCGGCAGGCTGAGAAAACGTGAGTAGTGTCAAGTTTGTCTGTCGGCTGAGTGAGGAACTGAGTGTGTTTCGGCAGGCTGAGTGAATGTGAAACTGAGTGTGTGTCGAACTGTCGACAGGCTGAGTGAGGAATGAGTAATTGAGCAGAACTGGTCGGTGGGCTAAGAAAGAGAGTGAGTTGTGTCGGGTATTAGAGACGAATTTTTCGTGTTTGTTGTCTGAGATTGTGAGTACAGAAGTCAGAATAGGTGTGTGAATTGTGAAGGTGGTGAGTAATGTCAGATAAGACTTTTAGTGTTACACATTATTTGTGCACGATTTACCTACAGAGGAAGGTTGAATAGCGTGTCGTCTTCAGGTGTCATTAGTCCGACCATCGGTTTCCGTTTCCTGATTTGTTTGACTTGATTGCCTGCTAACCGAGCATTTAATGGTTGTTTTAGCAATTAGGTAATTTGAACACGACATTGTCTTCCGTGTCACGATACTAAGCGCATCCTATGTAGGTGGATGTTTTTATATTTTTCATTGGTATGTGTTGCATAATGTGTTAATATTTGTGAAGCACTATGTTTGCCATACTTTTCTTGATCCTCTAGCCATAAGTGTTATGTTGTTTCATTTTTACTCATGCCTTAAACATGCAAGTTGCAAGGCACACGTGGTTAACCGTTACGTTCATTGTTCGAACAGTGTTCGCAGTTCGTGCAGCAGCTGAACAAAAAATCAAAGCTTCGGCATGCAATGCTTTCAAAGAAACTCTGTGCTTAGAAGTTAGTTACTTATGCCACTCTGATCCAATAACATCAACGGTAGTCGAGAAAATTACCAATTTAATTTGATTTACACTCCAACACGTGTTGTGCAATGTAACATGTTGTTTTTATCTTGTTGCGCGGTGGCTCTTCCTTGAGCTGCTGTCGCGACGAAGAACCTTTGAAAATTGAATATCGCAAAGTTGCAGATACATATTCGGGAATTTCCTGCCTTTCGGTCTGTGGCGCCAGCGTAAATTGTGTATGGACATTAAATTGTGCCGATCTGAAATATCGATCGTTTTCGATGGCGGTGACATTTGTGCGTGGTTTTGCCTTCGATAGAGCCTTGGTTTTGCCTATATGCGTCATCGATGGATTAGTGCAGACTTGAGTGACGCTTGTGCAGAGATAGAGAAGCTGGCTGCATCTGCCATCAATAGTTGTACTAGCGTTATTTAATCGATATCGAATGTAATGGACCTGCGGACGAATTTTGCCGAATGACTGACTGCATCCGATGGTGTTCTCCTTTTTTAAAAAGGGCAGTCACGTTTTGTTAGGATTTAGCCTGTGCAGTGTCTTGATTTTTTCGCTTTCCAAGGCAGATCTGCTGCGGAGCTTGTTTGTTATTCCAAGGCAAGTGCTATTTGAGCTGGTAATTACCCAAACTTCTCCGGCCTCTGGCAGCGAGGTCTGGCGTCGCTGGTGTCTTGTGCCTCGTCAGCGAATCTCGGTCCTGGCCTCTCCTACCCGGCCCGATCTGCCCTGAAGTGACCTTACCTGACGTGTCTTACCGACCTAACCCGAACCAACCTGATGTGACCTGACTTGACTGGACTAGCCCTGACCTGACCTAACATAACCTAACAGATCCAATCAATTTACTCTGAACTTACCTAACCCAACTTGCCATGATATGACCTAACCCTTACCCTACCCGACCATCTAACCTGCCCTGACCTGACCTCTGCCCTGTCTGCCGCAGGTCACGGTGCCACCATGCCGTGAAGGACACTAAACAGGAGCGGTCACCAGACCCGCCAGAGGTGAGTACTCGGTCGCCTTTCCGACCTTTGTTTTGCTTGTTTTAGGGATCGTATCGCGATTTGTGTATAAATTAGCTGGCAGGCTTTCCACAATATTGTGCTGGTGAATGTTGTTGCCCTCCCGTTATCAGCTACGGTTTCGAACCGTTAGGTCTGTTTGCTTCTGCAGCAAGTTTAGTTTACTTATCTCACGTTTAGGTAAATACGTAATTTTACGAAAATAAGGAGCTAAGAAATTAATAACGGCGATGAACAAATCCGCACTCCTTGCTAATATTACTCCCGTTGTGTGAGTCATTTCTAAATTCTAACGTCGCACTTTAGCGTCACGCTACAGCCATTCCTGCACCATTGTGGCCGCAAACCACCGGGCCTGGTTTTTTTGTTGGCCCAGCTGCAGTGACAAATGTCATCACGTGCGAGTGGTACTGGGGGGGGGATTCAAACTGGGGCGAAATAACGCTCACATGGGTGTTACTCATCCTGATAGTGCGCGTAACTTGCTTTGTAGACGATTTAGTGGGTTTAGGTCAGTTTTTGCGTGTTTTCATTTTATCGTCTCGTTGTGACAAGTGACGACCCATTTGCCCGCTCTGCTCTCTAAATGTGATTTTCAACCCCTAGAACTGAAATGGCTTGCCTTGCGTTATATAACTCTGTACACGTCCGTATACCGGCACACAGATATCTGTGCTTGCGTGCAATATTTTAACTTCTATAAGTTTTCACACTTGAAGTGTCAGCCCTCCCCTCTGCTGAAAAGCCTCCACTCCATATTTGGC